AGGGTGGAGAGTGGAGGGTGGAGGGTGAGTGGAGGGTGGAGGGTGGAGGGTGGAGGGTGGAGGGTGGAGGGTGGAGAGTGGAGGGTGGAGGGGGGTGAGTGGAGGGTGGAGGGTGGAGAGTGGAGGGTGGAGGGTGGAGGGTGGAGAGTGGAGGGTGGAGGGTGGAGAGTGGAGGGTGGAGGGTGGAGGGTGGAGGGTGGAGGGTGGAGGGTGGAGGGTGGAGGGTGAGTGGAGGGTGGAGGGTGGAGGATGGAGGGTGGAGGGTGGAGAGTGGAGGGTGGAGGGTGGAGGGTGGAGAGTGGAGGGTGGAGGGTGGAGAGTGGAGGGTGGAGGGTGGAGGGTGGAGGGTGGAGGGTGGAGGGTGAGTGGAGGGTGGAGGGTGGAGGATGGAGGGTGGAGGGTGGAGAGTGGAGGGTGGAGGGTGAGTGGAGGGTGAAGGGTGGAGGGTGGAGGGTGGAGGGTGGAGGGTGGAGGGTGGAGGGTGGAGGGTGGAGAGTGGAGGGTGGAGGGGGGTGAGTGGAGGGTGGAGGGTGGAGGGTGGAGGGTGGAGGGTGGAGGGTGGAGGGTGAGTGGAGGGTGGAGGGTGGACGATGGAGGGAGGAGGGTGGAGAGTGGAGGGTGGAGGGTGAGTGGAGGGTGGAGGGTGGAGGATGGAGGGTGGAGAGTGGAGGGTGGAGGGTGGAGGGAGGAGGGTGGAGGGTTGAGAGTGGAGGGTGGAGGGTGGAGAGTGGAGGGTGGAGGGTGGAGGGTGGAGAGTGGAGGGTGGAGGGTGGAGGGTGGAGGGTGGAGAGTGGAGGGTGGAGGGTGGAGGGAGGAGGGTGGAGGGTGGAGAGTGGAGGGTGGAGGGTGGAGGGTGGAGGGGTGGAGGGAGGAGGGTGGAGGGTGGAGGGCGAAGGGTGGAGGGTGGAGAGTGGAGGGTGGAGGGTGGAGGGTGGAGAGTGGAGGGTGGAGGGTGGAGAGTGGAGGGTGGAGAGTGGAGGGTGGAGGGTGGAGGGTGGAGGGTGGAGGGTGAGTGGAGGGTGGAGGGTGGAGGATGGAGGGTGGAGGGTGGAGAGTGGAGGGTGGAGGGTGAGTGGAGGGTGGAGGGTGGAGGGTGGAGGGTGGAGGGTGGAGAGTGGAGGGTGGAGGGGGGTGAGTGGAGGGTGGAGGGTGGAGAGTGGAGGGTGGAGGGTGGAGGGTGGAGAGTGGAGGGTGGAGGGTGGAGAGTGGAGGGTGGAGGGTGGAGGGTGGAGGGTGGAGGGTGGAGGGTGGAGGGTGGAGGGTGAGTGGAGGGTGGAGGGTGGAGGATGGAGGGTGGAGGGTGGAGAGTGGAGGGTGGAGGGTGGAGGGTGGAGAGTGGAGGGTGGAGGGTGGAGAGTGGAGGGTGGAGGGTGGAGGGTGGAGGGTGGAGGGTGGAGGGTGAGTGGAGGGTGGAGGGTGGAGGATGGAGGGTGGAGGGTGGAGAGTGGAGGGTGGAGGGTGAGTGGAGGGTGAAGGGTGGAGGGTGGAGGGTGGAGGGTGGAGGGTGGAGGGTGGAGAGTGGAGGGTGGAGGGGGGTGAGTGGAGGGTGGAGGGTGGAGGGTGGAGGGTGGAGGGTGGAGGGTGGAGGGTGAGTGGAGGGTGGAGGGTGGACGATGGAGGGAGGAGGGTGGAGAGTGGAGGGTGGAGGGTGAGTGGAGGGTGGAGGGTGGAGGATGGAGGGTGGAGAGTGGAGGGTGGAGGGTGGAGGGAGGAGGGTGGAGGGTTGAGAGTGGAGGGTGGAGGGTGGAGAGTGGAGGGTGGAGGGTGGAGGGTGGAGAGTGGAGGGTGGAGGGTGGAGGGTGGAGGGTGGAGAGTGGAGGGTGGAGGGTGGAGGGAGGAGGGTGGAGGGTGGAGAGTGGAGGGTGGAGGGTGGAGGGTGGAGGGTGGAGGGAGGAGGGTGGAGGGTGGAGGGCGAAGGGTGGAGGGTGGAGAGTGGAGGGTGGAGGGTGGAGGGTGGAGAGTGGAGGGTGGAGGGTGGAGAGTGGAGGGTGGAGAGTGGAGGGTGTAGGGTGGAGGGTGGAGGGTGGAGGGTGGATGGTGGAGAGTGGAGGGTGGAGGGTGGAGGGTGGAGGGTGGAGGGTGGAGGTTGGAGGTTGTGGAGGGTGGAGGGTGGAGGGTGGAGGTTGTGGAGGGTGGAGGGTGGAGGGTGGAGGGTGGAGGGTGGAGAGTGGAGGGTGGAGGGTGGAGGGTGGAGAGTGGAGGGTGGAGGGTGGAGAGTGGAGGGTGGAGGGTGGAGGGTGGAGGGTGGAGAGTGGAGGGTGGAGGGTGGAGGGTGGAGGGTGATTGGAGGGTGGAGGGTGGAGGGTGGAGGGTGGAGGGTGGAGGGTGGAGGGTGGAGGGTGGAGGGTGGAGGGTGGAGGGTGGAGGGTGGAGGGTGGAGGGTGAGTGGAGGGTGGAGGGTGGACGATGGAGGGTGGAGGGTGGAGAGTGGAGGGTGGAGGGTGAGTGGAGGGTGGAGGGTGGAGGGTGGAGGGTGGAGGGTGGAGAGTGGAGGTGGAGGGGGGTGAGTGGAGGGTGGAGGGTGGAGAGTGGAGGGTGGAGGGTGGAGGGTGGAGAGTGGAGGGTGGAGGGTGGAGAGTGGAGGGTGGAGGGTGGAGGGTGGAGGGTGGAGGGTGGAGGGTGGAGGGTGGAGGGTGAGTGGAGGGTGGAGGGTGGAGGATGGAGGGTGGAGGGTGGAGAGTGGAGGGTGGAGGGTGGAGGGTGGAGAGTGGAGGGTGGAGGGTGGAGAGTGGAGGGTGGAGGGTGGAGGGTGGAGGGTGGAGGGTGGAGGGTGAGTGGAGGGTGGAGGGTGGAGGATGGAGGGTGGAGGGTGGAGAGTGGAGGGTGTAGGGTGAGTGGAGGGTGAAGGGTGGAGGGTGGAGGTTGAGGGTGGAGGGTGGAGGGTGGAGGGTGGAGAGTGGAGGGTGGAGGGGGGTGAGTGGAGGGTGGAGGGTGGAGGGTGGAGGGTGGAGGGTGGAGGGTGGAGGGTGGAGGGTGGAGGGTGAGTGGAGGGTGGAGGGTGGACGATGGAGGGAGGAGGGTGGAGAGTGGAGGGTGGAGGGTGAGTGGAGGGTGGAGGGTGGAGGATGGAGGGTGGAGAGTGGAGGGTGGAGGGTGGAGGGAGGAGGGTGGAGGGTTGAGAGTGGAGGGTGGAGGGTGGAGAGTGGAGGGTGGAGGGTGGAGGGTGGAGAGTGGAGGGTGGAGGGTGGAGGGTGGAGGGTGGAGAGTGGAGGGTGGAGGGTGGAGGGAGGAGGGTGGAGGGTGGAGAGTGGAGGGTGGAGGGTGGAGGGTGGAGGGTGGAGGGAGGAGGGTGGAGGGTGGAGGGCGAAGGGTGGAGGGTGGAGAGTGGAGGGTGGAGGGTGGAGGGTGGAGAGTGGAGGGTGGAGGGTGGAGAGTGGAGGGTGGAGAGTGGAGGGTGTAGGGTGGAGGGTGGAGGGTGGAGGATGGAGGGTGGAGAGTGGAGGGTGGAGGGTGGAGGGAGGAGGGTGGAGGGTGGAGAGTGGAGGGTGGAGGGTGGAGGGTGGAGGGTGGAGGGTGGAGAGTGGAGGGTGGAGGGTGGAGGGTGGAGGGTGGAGAGTGGAGGGTGGAGGGTGGAGGGTGGAGGGTGGAGGGTGGAGGGTGGAGGGTGATTGGAGGGTGGAGGGTGGAGGGTGGAGGGTGGAGGGTGGAGGGTGGAGGGTGGAGGTTGTGGAGGGTGGAGGGTGGAGGGTGGAGGGTGGAGGGTGGAGAGTGGAGGGTGGAGGGTGGAGGGTGGAGGGTGGAGGGTGGAGGGTGGAGGGTGGAGAGTGGAGGGTGGAGGGTGGAGGGTGGAGGGTGGAGGGTGGAGAGTGGAGGGTGGAGGGTGGAGGGTGGAGGGTGGAGGGTGATTGGAGGGTGGAGGGTGGAGGGTGGAGGGTGGAGGGTGGAGGGTGGAGGGTGGAGGGTGGAGGGTGTGGAGGGTGGAGGGAGGAGGGTGGAGGGTGGAGGGTGGAGAGTGGAGGGTGGAGGGTGGAGGGTGGAGGGTGGAGGGTGGAGGGTGGAGGGTGGAGGGTGGAGGGTGGAGGGTGGAGGGTGGATGGTGGAGAGTGGAGGGTGGAGGGTGGAGGGTGGAGGGTGGAGGGTGGAGGGTGGAGGGTGGAGGGTGATTGGAGGGTGATTGGAGGGTGGAGGGTGGAGGGTGGAGGGTGGAGGGTGGAGGGTGGAGGGTGGAGGGTGGAGGGTGGAGGTTGTGGAGGGTGGAGGGTGGAGGGTGGAGGTTGTGGAGGGTGGAGGGTGGAGGGTGGAGGGTGGAGGGTGGAGAGTGGAGGGTGGAGGGTGGAGGGTGGAGAGTGGAGGGTGGAGGGTGGAGAGTGGAGGGTGGAGGGTGGAGGGTGGAGGGTGGAGAGTGGAGGGTGGAGGGTGGAGGGTGGAGGGTGATTGGAGGGTGGAGGGTGGAGGGTGGAGGGTGGAGGGTGGAGGTTGTGGAGGGTGGAGGGTGGAGGGTGGAGGGTGGAGGGTGGAGAGTGGAGGGTGGAGGGTGGAGGGTGGAGAGTGGAGGGTGGAGGGTGGAGGGTGGAAAGTGGAGGGTGGAGGGTGGAGAGTGGAGGGTGGAGGGTGGAGGGTGTAGGGTGGAGGGTGGAGGGTGATTGGAGGGTGGAGGGTGGAGGGTGGAGGGTGGAGGGTGGAGGGTGGAGGGTGGAGGGTGGAGGGTGGAGGGTGGAGGTTGTGGAGGGTGGAGGGTGGAGGGTGGAGGGTGGAGGGTGGAGAGTGGAGGGTGGAGGGTGGAGGGTGGAGAGTGGAGGGTGGAGGGTGGAGAGTGGAGGGTGGAGAGTGGAGGGTGGAGGGTGGAGGGTGGAGGGTGGAGGGTGGAGGGTGATTGGAGGGTGGAGGGTGGAGGGTGGAGGGTGGAGGGTGGAGGGTGGAGGGTGGAGGGTGGAGGGTAATCCAGGGGGTGTATCCAGGGTATCTTATTCAGCTCACAAGCCTCCTTTCCCGTTCCCCATCTCCCTATCTTTCCCCCTTCCCCTCTCCCTCCCCCGTCTCCCCCAGCCACTGTTCCCCCCATGCAGCCACCCCAGCCCGTCTCTCCTGCACTCCTTCCACTCCCCCCCCTCCGGCCCGCCCCTCTTCTCTCAAGATCGCTCCCACCGCTTCCCCTCTCCCCCCTTCCCTCCCCTCCCCCGTTCTCCCTCCCCCAGCCGCTGTTCCCCCCGTGCAGCCACCCCAGTCCGTCTCTCCTGCACGCCTTCCGCGCGCGGCACCTCTTCCCCCCCTCCGGTCTGCCCCTCTTCTCTCCAACGGGCGCCTACCTTTCCCCTGAGCAAGGAGAGCAAGGAGACGCAGAGGGAGCAGTGGGGGTGCCTATGGGGCCTATGGGATCTATGGATGGGCGGTTGAAGCATGATTGGGTGGTGGTGGTGGCGGCTCCCCCGTCCCGTCTGCCCACAGTGCAAGCCGCTGCGCTGGCTGCAGCGCTGCGTGCGGTGAAGTGGATACTGAAGCAGCTCTATACCGAGGATAGAGTCGCCGTGTACAGACGTAACATGCCACTTTTAGAAGGTGAGTGAGTGGGGTGCTGTCAACGTTGCGCCTAGACTGAAATTTCGGAGGAAACAAAATGCCCGAATGGCTGATGTTTGTTGCATATTCACCTGTTGTAGGTTTTTTTTTTTAATCCTTGCAAAAACACTTGGGACATAATTTCAATGAGCTGCATTGCTTAGGAGACTCTTCTTACGCCCTCGTGAACACCCCGATTTTTGCCTTCCCTCTCAACTCTGCCCCTCCCCTGCTCCCTCCCAGCCAGGGCGCTGTTCCAACGAGCTCTGCTGTTCGTTGCCTGTGATAACGCCCTTGTGAATATCCTCTTCATGCCCTCTTCCCTACCCAATCCTCCTGTCCCATTCCCCATGCACCCAGCCAGGGCGCTGTTCCAACGGGCTCTGGTATTCGTCGCCTGCGATAACGCCCTCGCGACTACCCTCTTCATGCCCTCTTCATGCCCTCCCACTCCCTCTCCGTCTTGCCTCTCCTCTCCCTCCACCCAGCCAGGGCGCTGTTTCAGCGAGCTCTGGTATTCGTTGCCTGCGATAACGCCCTCGTGAATACCCTCTTCATGCCTGTTTGAAGCACCTCACATGCCTTCCCTCCCGCCCTGCCCCTCCCCTGCCCCCACCCAGCCAGGGCGCTGTTCCAACGAGCTCTGCTATTTGTTGCGTGTGATAACGCCCTCGTAAACACCCTCTTCATGCCTTCCCATTCCTCTGTCATCGAAATTCGCACCAGCACCAGCAGCAGCAGCAGCGGTGCAGATTCAGTGTATCCGGATGGGGGAAGGCAGCTGTACAGAAACTTAGCGTTGGCAGCCGGTGTGAGGCACTACCTAGTGGAATGCCCAGAGGAACCGGTAGAGGAGACAGCAGATTCAGGGGCAGGGAGCGGTGGAGGCCGGTGGGGAGAGGTTGGGAGTGGTGGCGGTGGTGGTGATGGTGATGCTGGCGCTGGTGCTGGTGGTGCTTCGGGGGTTGCATTTTGGGAGGATACGGAGGAGGAGGATTGGGAGAAAGGTGGTGGGTGGTCAGTGTACTTGCGTCAAGGGTCCCTTGCTTGCGGTGTTGAGCGGTTGAGAGCGGTCCTGGAAAGTGTTCTCCACGATGGGTTTGCTTCGGAGAGTTTTGACCCGAACCTCCTTGACAGGTCTGGGGAAGGGTTCGGGACGAAGATTCCAGGCAGCAAGGTCAGCCGGGCAGGTTTGAAAGAAAAGTTTCTGAAATGGCAGGAGTGTGTGGCAGCAGAGGGCAGCTGGAAATTCGACCCGAGGCCGAGGCGATTACCCTGGGAATTCAAGGGATACTCGAATTACTGCGACAAAAGGCACATGGCAGCATCCCCTACTGCTGTCGTAGTCTCCAAAGCAGATCAAATCGCAGATTCCATTATGAAGCTTCCTCCGGAAGAGAGGAAGGTGCGGCAGGAGGAGTGGGACGTACGGCCCCAGCTGAAATACGCGTGGGACACGGAGGGTAAGTGTGGGGCATGGGAGGCTTTTGATGGCCGAGTGGTGTGCGATTGGGTGAGAGGGAGGAGGTGGAATGGAACAGGAATGCCGTTGACAGAAGAGGAGGAGGAGGAGAGGGAAGAAGCGGCTTTCAAAGGGGAGGCTGTGAGGGAGAAGGGCGATGGGAGCGGCGCTCTTGTACTCCTTATAGGTGATTCGTTACAGGAGCAGTTTGTGCGCGTGCTGGTGAACAACATGCTTACGCATGTAAAGAAACCCGCCACGTGGGCCGTGGAGGAAACCATTCCCAAGGAATGCAGCGAACTCATCGAACCCGACCATGCAAGGCACTCTTTCTGCCGAGACTACAAGCTTCACAGCAACGTGTGCGCCAATCTCACCATCCGGTTCATTCGCCACGACTACCTTCAGCTTTCCAACTCCCAGATCAAGTTCGACCGCGTCCCCTTCGCCCGCCTCTCTATACTCGCTGGCGCCCGCGTGGTTATTCTGAATCGCGGCGCGCACTACCGCCCGGACCGGCACTTCATCTCGGCCGTCCGTTCAACTTTAAGATTTCTCCGGAACAAGCTCCCGGACGCGCTCTTGATCTATCGTACCACCGTGCAAGGCCATGCCAACTGCTCGGAACATGACAAGCCGCTGCTCGTGCCGGGTCCCACCGACAACCTGCCGTTCTTCTGGGGGAAGTTTCACGAGCAGAACGAGCTGGCACGGGCGGCGGTGGAGGAGGTGGGCGGCGTGTATTTGGATGTAGCGGCAATGACGGTGCTTCGACCGGACTCGCATCAGGGGTTCATTCCGGAGTTGAATCACGAGGACTGCTTGCATTACTGCATTCCCGGCCCACAGGATGTGTGGGCTCAGATGCTGCAGAACGTGCTGCTGCAGCTGCTGCCAGAACCGGCACCTGCTGCTGCTGCTGCTGCTGCTTAGATGGCTGGATGGTGCTGCTAGGGTTGCTCGCCTTGGGCTGTGTTACTTACTGTGTACCACTACTCCAGCTTTGGTTTGAGGTCTCATCTTCCCGAGACTGCTTGAGGACCGATGGTTCACTCGTCAGCATGCCGCAGAATCATTTAATTAAATTAAGAAACGAAACAATTTACGTACCTAGGAGACATTGCCTATTTGCAAGATAAAGAATAAGCAGATAACAGACGCATTACATCTGAGGCCTAGACTACTTGCTAGCAATATATTCAACCAAATCAGGAGAGGATGGCATGAAAGGCCATGACCACACCCAGGCCTAAGGCTAGCAAGCAACACTCTACCTGGTCCCTACCCTAGATCCTATTCTGGATCTTCACGACGACTCCTCAAGCCCCGAGGTCCAGTTGTCAATCCCCCTTATTCTGTGGCAAGGCGGCGAAGCCTGATCGCCTGACCGCTGGAGCAACTCAGAAGTGGTCTTGCAGCTCAGGGAAGAGCTCTTCAAGAGAGACTCCCCCCACCGCCCCTGTGCCATCGAGTTTTGAGACGTCTCAGAAATCGTCTCCTAACTGCGGCAGCAACTCAGAAGTCGTCTTGCAGCTCGGGAAAGAGCTCTTCAAGAGAGATTCCCCTGACCGCCCCTGTGCCATCCTCAGGGACCCCGTGAATGAGGCTGTGGTGGGGTGTTGGCAGGCTGGGATGAGGGGTTGGGAGGCTGTTATGAGGGGTTGGCAAGCTGTTATGAGGGGTTGGGAGGCTGTTATGAGGGGTTGGGAGGCTGTTATGAGGGGTTGGGAGGCTGTTATGAGGGGTTGGGAGGTTGTGATGGGGGGTTTGCAGGCTGTGATGGGGGGTTAGCAGGTTGTGGTGGGGGGTTGGGAGGCTGTGGTGGGGGGTTGGCAGGCTGACATGAGGGGTTACAAGACTGTGGTGAGGGGTTGGGAGGTTGTGGTGAGGGGTTGGGAGGTTGTATTGTGGGGTTGGCAGGCTGTCATGTGGGGTTGGGAGGCTGTGATGAGGGGTGGGGTGGTTGTGGTGAGGGGTTGGCCGGCTGTCATGTGGGGTTGGCAGGATGTGGTGGGGAGGTGGAGGGTCGGTTGACTCTAGGTTTGACTCAAAGGCCACTTGATGGCTCGGGCTTTGAAGCTGGGGTGGAAGCTCAGTTGACCCTTGAGTTGACTCTAGGGCCACTCTGGTGTTCCAGCTATGGTGGGGTGGTGGAAAGGCAGTTGACTCGAGGGTTGACTCGAGGGTTGACTGTTGGGTTACCTTGAGAGGTTCAGTGGTTGCTGGTGTTGACTCGAGAGAAATCACTTGGGGTAGTCTAGGGTGCTGAGATGGAGGGTCAGTCGTGGGTGCTGCAAAGGAGGCTGGCACAGGGTTGTTGGCCCAGGAGGATTCTTGGTTAGCCCAGGGAGATGCCTGGTTAGCACAGGTGGATTGCTGCAGGTGGAAGGGTGGCGGGTTTACCTGGCTGGATGGCTGCTGCTGGAAATGCAGCTGTTTCTGCTGCTGCACCTGTTTTTGCACCTGCTGTTGCACCTGTTGCTGCTGCTGCACGTGCTGTTGCTGTTGATGCTGCTGCTGCGTTAATCGCAGCTGCTGTTGCACCTGTTGCTGCTGTTGGCCCTGCTGCTCCTGCCCTTGCCCCTGGTAAGCTGCCACACCCTGCCGCCCCGTCTGCCTCTGCCCCTGCAGCCACACTTGCCGCTCTACCTGCTGCTGCTGCTGCTGCTGCTGCTGCTGCTGCTGCTGCTGCTGCTGCTGCTGCTGCTGCTGCTGCTGCTGCTGCTGCTGCTGCTGCTGCTGCTGCTGCTGCTGCTGCTGCTGCTGCTGCTGCTGCTGCTGCTGCTGCTGCTGCTGTTGCTGCTGCTGCGGAGGTTGCTGGTGGTACCGTTGTGCTTTCTGCTGCTGCGGTTGCTGCTGCGACTGCTGTGGATCAGCCCCGGGCCGAGCCTGTGCCTGGGGTTGGGAAGGCTTGATAGGAGGAAAAACCGAAGGGGCAAGTGGATGGAGAATAGGAGGGAGCACTGAAGGGACTGGAGGGGCGACTGGTGAGGCACGTGGAAGGGTATGTGGAGGGGCGAGCGGTGGGGCGATTGGAGGGGCGAGCAATGGGTTGAGTGGTGGGCATTGGGTGAGTGGATGGGGGTGAGGCGGTTGAGCAGGCTGTTCTGAAGCTGTTGTCTCTCGCACTGCCCCTGTTGACTCTGTTGACTTTACAGGCTGTGTGGAGAACTGGGCTGGCAGAGACCAAGGCACGTCTGCTGGCTGTGGGGAGAGGGAGGGGTGTTGCTGCTGCTGCAAGGGTAGGGAGGGGTGCTGTTGCTGCTGCAAGGGCAGGGAGGGGTGCTGCTGCTGCAAGGATAGGGGGGGTTGCTGCTGCTGCAAGGACAGGGAGGGGTGCTGCTGCTGCAAGGGCAGGGAGGGGTGCTGCTGCTGCAAGGGTAGGGAGGGGTGCTGCTGCTGCAAGGGTAGAGCACCTTGTTCCACGAGCATGGGTGCGTCCAGGAGTGGCAGAGGCGTGGGTGCTTGCAGGGGTGGCAGAGGCGAGTCTATTGGCAGGGTGGCGAGAGCAGGGGAAGTGTGTGTCTCGTTTACCAGTTGTGGCTGCTGATAGAGCTGGGTCTGATGATGCTGCTGAAACTGCTGAAACTGTTGACCTGCTTCGGAACTCTCTGCTTGCAAGCGGCTCCCTTGAACCAACCCAACGCCCCCCTGCAGAAGTAGCGACACGTACCCACTCCTGGCCTCCTTCCCTTCTGAACCATTTCCCTCCATCGCATTTCTCCCCGATGCATTTATCTCCGCAGCGTTTTGCCCCCAAGGATGATTACCCTCAGAAGCATGGCTAGCAGAGCGCGCCAGGTGACTGGCAGGAGACTGCCCTTGAGTCGACTCAAGAATTCCCAAGTAACCAGCAGGGGACTGGTACGTGACTGCCTCGTTCACGTGGCTGGCGTTCAGAGGGGCCTCTAGCTGCTTGGTCTGCGCCTCCATCTGTTTCGTGTGTGCCTCAAGCTCTTCTGTCTGCGCCTGAAGCTGCTTCGTCTGTGTTTCTTGCTGCCTCGCCTGAACCTGAGGCTGCTTTTTCAACTGCGGCTTCTGCCTGGGCTGAATCGCGACGTCCACTGGCTGGAGGTTGAAGAGAGGCGAGTGGTCTGTGAATGTGTTGAGGTGGTTGGCTAGTTTGTCCTTTCTGCTGAAGGAGTTCCCGCAGGAGCAGTGCCACCGCTTTACACCGCACTGCTTCTCGTGGGATCGCAGGTCGGATTGGATGCCGAAGGACTTGACCTGAGGGGAAGGTAGAGAGTAAAGGGGAGTGAGTGTGCTGCAGCAGGAGGCCACCGCTTTACACTGCACTGTTTGCTGCGTCTGCACTGAAAAGGCACCTTAGGTGCGAAGCTGTAAAGTAGCCCTTATTCGAAGAATAGTTTGTCATCAAGGTTTCGCAGAAAAAGAAGGCTATAGGAACCACGGGACGTGGTGGGTATGCAGCGAGGCTAGGGACCTGAGAGAACGGGGGAGAGGGGAGGAGAGGAAAGGACAGGACAGTGGAGTAAAACGAAAGAGGAGTTTTACCTGGCAGCGGGAGCAGGTGAAAGGCTTGTCACCATGCACGCGGAGGTGGTGGGTGTGCAGCGAGGCTAGGGACTTGAGTGGACGGAAGCGCGGGTGCTGCCCGTTGTGCTGGCAGCCTGGCTCAGGGCACGTGAATGTCGTGGGGGAGGAGCTGAAGGGGTGGGGGATAAAGGGGAGAGGAAGAGGAAAGTGAAGGGGAAGAGGGTGAGACAAGAAAGGAAGCGAGGGTGCTGTTTGTTGTGCTGGCAGCCCGGCTCTACGCAGGTGAAGGCTGTGGGGGCGGAGCTGAGGAGATGGGGGCGGAATAGGGAGTGAGGCAGGGAGGTACTAGGGATGTAGAGAGGTAGAGAGGAAGAAAATGACTGAGCGAGGGAGAGTGGGAGAGTTGGTCGGTTGGAGTTAGGTAGAGACGTGTTATGGTCAATACCAACGCACAGGTGGGATGAGCAGAGCATGGAGGAGCAGAGCGACAACAACATCAGGAGTAGAATTGACACCCTGAAATCCAGAGATGGTCGGGACTGGCACAGGTAGGAGGAGAGCAAGGAGAGGCAGAGCAGGGAGAGGCAGAGCAGGGAGAGGCAGATCAGGGAGAGGCAGAGCAGGGAGAGGCAGAGCAGGGAGAGGCAGAGCAGGGAGAGGCAGAGCAAGGAGAGGCAGAGCAGGGAGAGGCAGAGCAGGGAGAGGCAGAGCAAGGAGAGGCAGAGCAAGGAGAGGCAGAGCAGGGAGAGGCAGAGCAGGGAGAGGCAGAGCAGGGAGAGGCAGAGCAGGGAGAGGCAGATCAGGGAGAGGCAGAGCAGGGAGAGGCAGAGCAGGGAGAGGCAGAGCAGGGAGAGGCAGAGCAGGGAGAGGCAGAGCAAGGAGAGGCAGAGCAGGGAGAGGCAGAGCAAGGAGAGGCAGAGCAGGGAGAGGCAGAGCAGGGAGAGGCAGAGCAGGGAGAGGCAGAGCAAGGAGAGGCAGAGCAGGGAGAGGCAGAGCAGGGAGAGGCAGATAAGGGAGAGGCAGAGCAGGGAGAGGCAGAGCAAGGAGAGGCAGAGCAAGGAGAGGCAGAGCAGGGAGAGGCAGAGCAGGGAGAGGCAGAGCAGAGAGAGGCAGAGCAGGGAGAGGCAGAGCAGAGAGAGGCAGAGCAGGGAGAGGCAGAGCAGGGAGAGGCAGAGCAGGGAGAGGCAGAGCAGGGAGAGGCAGATCAGGGAGAGGCAGAGCAAGGAGAGGCAGAGCAAGGAGAGGCAGAGCAGGGAGAGGCAGAGCAGGGAGAGGCAGAGCAGAGAGAGGCAGAGCAGGGAGAGGCAGAGCAGGGAGAGGCAGAGCAAGGAGAGGCAGAGCAAGGAGAGGCAGAGCAGGGAGAGGCAGAGCAGGGAGAGGCAGAGCAGGGAGAGGCAGAGCAGGGAGAGGCAGATCAGGGAGAGGCAGAGCAAGGAGAGGCAGAGCAAGGAGAGGCAGAGCAGGGAGAGGCAGAGCAGGGAGAGGCAGAGCAGAGAGAGGCAGAGCAGGGAGAGGCAGAGCAGGGAGAGGCAGAGCAGGGAGAGGCAGAGCAGGGAGAGGCGGAGCAGGGAGAGGCGGAGCAGGGAGAGGCAGAGCAGGGAGAGGCAGAGTAGGGAGAGGCAGAGCAGGGAGAGGCGGAGCAGGGAGAGGCGGAGCAGGGAGAGGCAGAGCAGGGAGAGGCAGAGCAGGGAGAGGCAGAGCAGGGAGAGGCAGAGCAGGGAGAGGCAGAGCAAGGAGAGGCAGAGCAGGGAGAGGCAGAGCAGGGAGAGGCAGAGCAAGGAGAGGCAGAGCAAGGAGAGGCAGAGCAGGGAGAGGCAGAGCAGGGAGAGGCAGATCAGGGAGAGGCAGAGCAGGGAGAGGCAGAGCAAGGAGAGGCAGAGCAAGGAGAGGCAGAGCAGAGGCAGAGCAGGGAGAGGCAGAGCAGGGAGAGGCAGAGCAGGGAGAGGCAGAGCAGGAGAGGCAGAGCAAGGAGAGGCAGAGCAGGGAGAGGCAGAGCAGGGAGAGGCAGAGCAGGGAGAGGCAGAGCAGGGAGAGGCAGAGCAGGGAGAGGCAGAGCAGGGAGAGGCAGAGCAGGGAGAGGCAGAGCAGGGAGAGGCAGAGCAGGGAGAGGCAGAGCAGGGAGAGGCAGAGCAGGAGAGCCAGAGCAAGGACAGGCAGAGCAGGGAGAGGCAGAGCAGGGAGAGGCAGAGCAAGGAGAGGCAGAGCAAGGAGAGGCAGAGCAGGGAGAGGCAGAGCAGGGAGAGGCAGAGCAGGGAGAGGCAGAGCAGGGAGAGGCAGAGCAGGGAGAGGCAGAGCAGGGAGAGGCAGAGCAAGGAGAGGCAGAGCAGGGAGAGGCAGAGCAGGGAGAGGCAGAGCCAGGAGAGGCAGAGCAAGGAGAGGCAGAGCAGGGAGAGGCAGAGCAGGGAGAGGCAGAGCAGGGAGAGGCAGAGAAGGGAGAGGCAGATAAGGGAGAGGCAGAGCAGGGAGAGGCAGAGCAAGGAGAGGCAGAGCAAGGAGAGGCAGAGCAGGGAGAGGCAGAGCAGGGAGAGGCAGAGCAGAGAGAGGCAGAGCAGGGAGAGGCAGAGCAGGGAGAGGCAGAGCAGGGAGAGGCAGAGCAGGGAGAGGCAGAGCAGGGAGAGGCAGAGCAGGGAGAGGCAGAGCAGGGAGAGGCAGAGCAGGGAGAGGCGGAGCAGGGAGAGGCAGAGCAGGGAGAGGCAGAGCAAGGAGAGGCAGAGCAGGGAGAGGCAGAGCAGGGAGAGGCAGAGCAGGGAGAGGCAGAGCAACAAACTCAGCAGGATAAGAGTTGGCACCTTGAAACCCAGAGAGTGTCGGGACGGCCAGTGAAACTAGATGTCCGCCCAGATCCGTCTGAAGCCTCCTGATTTGATTCTGTCCTAGATGACCCTCTTGAATCCTCCTGCATTACTCCCAACCTCGCATCCCCTCTAGAAGCCTCCTGCCTTGCTTCTTCTTGGGCTACCCCCGTTGAAGCCCGGTCAATTGCGGCCGGGCTTGAATCGGAGCGAAGATTTTCATGCATTGACTCATGTGCTGCTGTTGCTGCTGCTGCTGCTGTTAGTGCTGCTGGTGATGGTGTTGGTGGTCGTGGTGGTAGTGCTGCTACTGTTCTGGCTGGTGCTGTTGCTGCTGCTGCTGGTGGCGTGGCTGCTGGTGGTGGTGCTGCTGCTGCTAGTGCTCCTGGTGGTGGTACTACTGCTGTTCGTGCTGTTCGTGCTGTTACCGATGCTCGTGGTGCTGCTGGTGCTGCTGGTTCTGCTGTTACTGCTGCTGGTGCTGCTGCTGCTGCTGCTGCTGCTGCTGCTGCTGCTGCTGCTGCTGCTGCTGCTGCTGCTGCTGCTGCTGCTGCTGCTGCTGCTGCTGCTGCTGCTGCTGCTGCTGCTGCTGCTTCTGGTGGCGCTGCTACTGCTTCTGGTACCCCTACTGCTGATGGTGGTGGTGCTTCTGGTGGTGTTGCTGCTGCTGCTGCTGCTGCTGCTTCTGCTGCTGCTTCTGCCACTCCTCCATGAACCTCTGCCCCTTCCTGCACCATGCTCTCTTGCAGCGCTGCCTGTAGCTGCAGCAGCAGCTGCTTCGGCTTCTTGCGCTTGCGAGGGGTCACCTCCCCGTCCTGCTGCTCCCCATCGCGCTGCTCCCCATCGCGCTGCTCCCCATCGCGCTGCTCCCCATCGTGCTGCTCCCCATCGTGCTGCTCCCCGTCACGTTGCTCCCCATCGCTCTGCTCCCCATCACGCTGCTTGCGCTTCTGCCCGGTTTCCCTTGCCAAGCTACCCACATCAGCAGAATCGCCACGTTCCGGCCTTGTTTGGGGAGTTTTGAGTCGTTCTTTGGCTCTTGAATGACCTGTATCTGGGTCTTCGGACCATGGATGCACCTCCTTGCACCCTCCTCCTCCCACTTCCAGTCCTTCCCTCTCCTGCAGCCTATCCTGCTCCTCCTCGTCCTCCTCGTTTTCTTCCTCTTCCGCTTCCTCTTCGTCTTCCTCCTCCTCTTCCTCTTCCTCTTCGTCTTTCTCCTCCATATCCTCCTCCTCATCATGATCCTCATCATCACCATCATCATCATCATCCTCATCCCCCCCAGCCCCTCCCTCCTCTTCCACTTCTTTCTCTTCATCCATGCTGTGGCTATCTCTCTCATTTCCCTCACTCATCCGCTCCTCATACTTACCTGCTTCCTGTCCCCAAGCCATCGGATCCGAACCTTCCTTACTCCCTTCATTCGTCACTCCCTGGCTTGGCAAAGCTTGGCTCGGCCGAGCCTGCCTCGGCAGAGTTGACGCAACCTGCAGGTTTGGCAGCAGGGGGAGCAGGGGTAGGAGTGCACTGCGCTGCTGGTGGGGAGGCAGCAGGCTGGCAGAAGCCACTGCGAGATGCTTGATCATGCCAACTATCCCCACTGCCACTGCGTCTCTCTGCTGCTTCCGCTTCTTCTCCTGAGCCTGCTCCTCCAGCTCCTGCTCTTCCTCCTCCTGCTCCTGCTCCTGCTCCTCATCCTGCTCCTCGTTGTCCTCCTCCTTTTGCTCCTGCTCCTGCTCCATTCCCTGTTTCTCCTGCTGCTTCTGTTGCTTTTTGTCTCCCTCACGCACCTGTTGGAAATGTTTTGTGCTTCCCAATTCCCTTTCATGCTGCTGCTGCTGCCCCTGCTGCTGCTTCTTCTCTTGTTGCTGATGTGCCTGTTCCTCCTCCTCCTCCTCCTCCTCCTCCTCCTCCTCCTCCTCCTCCTCCTCCTCCTCCTCCTCCTCCTCCTCCTCCTCCTCCTCCTTCTCCTTTTCCTCCTCCTCCACCACCTGTTCATGCTGCTCCTTCTCCTCCATTCGCTCCTGCTGTTGCTGAACGAGGGAGGTAAAGCAATGGTGGCAAGAAACAGAGTGGTGAAACAAGGGTGGCAAGAACAGTGTGGTGAAACAAGAGGGGCAAAAACAGGGTCGTGAAAAACGGCAACAGGGTGGAACAATGTCTAAACTGCGTATTGGAAAGAGGGACTTATGAAACAGGGTGCTCAGAGCGAAAGAGTCAAATGCGGTGACTGAAGCGATGTGCTTACTATCTGCTGCAAGCCAGAGCCATGGCAACGGTGGCCAGCAGCAATGTGCTGGATCCTGTGGATCATACCGTGCAACGTGTGTGCTGAATCTTGTGATGCCATATGAAAGATAGGGAGGAGCAGGGGCGCGGGAAATTGGGTCAAGACCTAGCAAGGGAATATCCAAGTAGCCTACCTGCGATAGGATTCGAACGAGTGCTTGTAACGCGGATACTCTGGCCTGGAGAGCAGTAAGGGAGGAGAGAAGGGTTGCATGCTGGCTGGGGACGGCTCTGTGCGTACATGTTGGGGGGTTGGTGCTTGGCTCATTGCTTGGTGTGCTGCTGTGAGTCGCAGTAGTAGCAGGAGCAGCAGCTGTAGCAGCAGCAGCAGCAGCAGTAGCAGTAGCAGCAGCAGTAGCCGGAGCAGGAGCAGCAGCAGCAGAAGCAGCAGCTGTACCAATGTTGTCCTCTCTGCCTAGGTACGCTCTTCTTATGCCAGCCAGGCCCCTTGGAAGGGACGTTGCTGTAGCAGCGGCTGTCGCTTCTGTAGCAACATCACGGGGCCAGGCGGCTGTAGCAGGAGACACAAGGGATCCTGCTGCTACAACCGCCTGCTTGCCATCTGCTGCAGCGTGTGCAGCCTCGGGAGAGGGTGGTTCGGAACCCGTACCAGCCCGGGAACGGAGCAGAACCTCGATGAGCCTGACGACGTCTGAGGGCGGGCCCGTTGCAGAAGGTACCAGCGCTGTTCCTCCTGTAACAACACCCAGCTGACCGGCATTCACTTGGCTATCGGCAGTGGCACCTGGTCGGCCGGCACCATCACCATCACCACCACCACCATCATCATCATCATCATCATCATCATCATCATCATCATCATCATCATCATCATCATCATCATCATCATCATCATCATCATCATCATCATCATCATCATCATCACCATCACCATCATCACCATCACCATCATCATCATCACCATCACCATCATCATCACCACCATCACCATCACCATCACCATCACCATCACCATCACCGCCACCGCCACCGCCACCGCCACCGCCACCGCCATCGCCATCGCCACCACCACCATCACCATCACCATCACCATCACCATCACCATCACCACCATCACCATCACCATCACCATCACCATCACCATCACCATCACCACCACCACCACCACCACCACCACCATCACCATCACCATCACCATCACCATCACCATCACCACCACCACCATCACCATCACCATCACCATCACCATCACCATCACCATCACCATCACCACCACCACCATCACCATCACCATCACCATCACCATCACCATCACCATCACCATCATCCTCATGTTGATCCCCGATACCTGCTACACCTGACCCCAGCCGGGGTGTTGTACTAGCTGATGGCGATGGTTGGTGGAGCTGCAGCTGCGGCGGCATCGTGGCATCACACGGCGGCATCGTGGCATCACACGGCGGCATCGTGGCATCACACGGCGGCAGCCTGCCGTCTACTACTGAGGCCTGGCAGGCCTGGAAGGCCTGGAAGGCTTGCCTGCTGCTGGCTGGCCGTTGGAGTGAACACTCCGGAGGTTCACTGGGACAGGGCCGTTGGGAATCAAACCCATGATGGGGTGGTGGTCGACTGGGTGGAGCGAGTTCCTGCTGGGGGCGTTGCTGGTTCTCCTCGCTGGATCCTGCAGTGTGGTGAGAACCTGATGACCTCGCCGCATGATCTTTCCCACTCACAGCAGAGTTAGAACTTCCAGCCTGGAAGTAGCTAATTGCAATAGCAGTACTAGTAGTAGTAGCAGCAATGGTAGTACTAGGCCTCCTGCCTGCTACTGACTCCACATCTCTAGCAAGTTGCTCTGACCGTCCTCTATGTTGCCCGCGTGGAAAGAGAGGCATTCCGTCCTTTCGGACGCGGCATTGCCCGCCAGCGGCCTGCTGTGAGCGCCGGGTGCTGGGCCAGGGCAGTCACTTGGAGTGAGGACAGTGAGCCTGAGGTGACACATCCGATGTCAGAGAGTATTTCTCTTTGGTGACCAAAGGCTATGGCAAGCACCAGCAGTCTAGCAATCTACACAATGCGACAGTGTATTTTCTCCCTACTTCTGTTTTCTCCCCACTAGCAGTCTAGCAGTCTGGCAAACGAAAGGAACCTGTTATGATAAAGTACCTGGTCTGAGATTGATCGCACCTTTACCGGGTGAACGCTGGCGTTGCAGCTCAGCCTCCAAATTGAACTGTGATTCGAAGATATCTCTTGTCACTTCAGCCCAACGTTTGGGCGATGATGATCCAGCCAGGAGATGGGCTGCGGATGCGAGCTGGACACTGCCAGTGCAGGTAAAACCATGCCTGATCGGAAGTAGGCAATGGTTATTATCAGAACTGAACAGAACCGAACGGAACCGAGCGCCGTTCTGAATGCGAGGTGTAGTTTCGTTCGAAAGGATCTGGTTGGGTTCGGCTCGGTGGCCTGTGGTGGGGAATGGATGCAGCTGCAGCTGGACTAGAGAGAAGAACTCTTCTGTACAGAATGGATCCCACCTTTGCAGTCACACTCGGACAAGTTGAGGAAAAAGTGTCTTGTTCTGCCACGCTAGACTTGATCCGCGCTAAACGCCAATGCGGATTAAGATCCGACGATACCGCCAAGTGTACGACACAATTTGAAGGCCCAAATTTGTCGGAAATGGGACGTGACCAATCCCAGAGCGCCGACCATTTGAGTGGCCTTTCTGGTCGGCGGGGAATGGCCACAAGGTACGGAGTTATTGGGAGGTTTGGTGTAAGTGGCTCGGAATTCGTCAATAACAGTGTAACTGCCTTACTCCAAGAGGTTTCCTTGATTGGTCACGAGCGTACTCGCGAAACAGTCGCATTTGGCTGCGAACTCAACAGTTGCACTTTCGGAGCTGAACGGCAAGAGAGGGTCGTGTGATGCACTGTATGCGTCAAGGTGGCTGCTGAAACTTTCTGTGCTTCCACGCAAAATCGGGGTTGTTTAGGGAGAGGTATTACATGCATTCGCTAGAATCTACGCTAATTATTTACGTCATGACTGAACAACAAGGCGGTCTGGACACTTATGTGAATTCCCGATGGAACCAGAGGGAAGTGGTATCTATAAACCAAGAAAACAAACAATAAACAAATCTCGTGCTGCATTTGACGCGGGTTCGCGCTTTGGTATGGTGCTCGTCGTGAAAGTGTCGGTGACACAGGGGCGGGTGAACAGATGCACCACAGCTTTCGACTAGCCCCGGTTGCTTCACGAAGGATGTGCGCGAGCAGTTCACGGGTTTACCAGTATTGAAACGGGATATGTGTAACAAGGGGGTCTGATGGTGAGGTGTACATGGGATTTATACCAGTAATACATGAAAATAATCTAATGCTATCATTTAAGCTTCAACCATTCAATAAGCCATAAGTAATCAGCATGACAGCTCAGGAAAGAGCTCGGTGACTGAAAAAATGTACTCTCCACTGCCTGCGCCCCCTCATTTATTACTCATTAATGCATGAACCTAATGTCATCTCGTGTCTCAATCATCACATGTTCCTTGCACTTCTGCATGAAAGAATCCGCCAGTGCCTCAACAGCACTCACGGCATCCCTGTAGAGCATTCCAGTGCAAGTTTCATGCATGAAACTCCGGATTGTGGAAGTTTGATGCACACCCGTTGTGGCATCGTAACGATCTTGTGTGTTAACGTCGACACAGTTGCGTGGATCGGCATAGGGTAACTGATCACTTGTGTATGGGACAATCACAGGTGTGTCCCTCGGAATGGGGATTACCTTGAACGGACCAGATTCCTCAACTGTGGCTGTGCTGGTATGCTGCACGCCGGATGGATCTAGGAGCAGCGTGTTCTGGGTGGCAAGCTCATAGTGACTTGGAATGCCTTCAAGTGGCTGGCTAGGTTGTTGTTCCGGCTGGCAAGGCAGAACGGTGGGGATGAGAAGTGCGGGACGCGGGGTTCAGCCAGAAAAACACAGGCATGGGAAACATGAGGAACGTGTCGAACTCACAAAAGAGTCTCAAGGTATATGAAATGAAATGGCATGACATGACGTGATGTGGCGTGACGGGACGTGCTGTGACATGGCATGACATAATGCTATGTACAACATATGCAGCAGCTCCATGCCTGAACGAGTTACCACACGAGCACTGCCATTACCAGGGCCCGCATCACCTCTCATGCGCCTCCAAGTCGGCCGGCAGGCAGAACGACTTGCTGCCGCACGCGAGCACAGGACTACCTTGTTGGAAAAACAAAACATAAGAACTTCTATATGCTGATAGATTTTGGTGCAGTCCTCGTTATAAGACTTCAGGTCCTACAATAATTGTACAATAATACCACTCACTTTGAGTTGGCATTATTGGTGCACAAATATTGGTATGGGTGGGGTCATTTTGGAGGGGTGGCTGCATATATAAATACCCTGTTGTGTGAAGTTATAGTATATATTCTACAAAATGACCCCAATAATACCCTTCGATTGCAAGTTTTCTATCTTGTTTTATTCTACAAAAAAATCGTTTCCGCTACGCTGATACCGTGCCTTTCTAGGGCGCATCAGCCGCGTGTGTCTGGCGGTAGTGGTTCTGCAGCGACGCCTTCAACTTGAACGCCCGAAAGCCTGGGTGTTGCTCGTTGAACGGGCAGCCTAAAGTCGGGTAGCTGAAAATCTTCGACACGGCACTGGGCTTGCTCCCCTAAGTCCGGTCACCTCCTCGGCTGTTTTGTTTCTCTTCCATGTCGCCCTGCAGATCAGCCTCTTCTGCAGCAACGGCGACTCCAAGGCCCGTAGACCGCAGACCACTGCTCATATTGCTCCTTGCGTGAGGTTCGGCATGGCAGGCGGCTTTTGCAGCAGGTTTCGATTCGCATGCGTCCTCGCGCCCACTTTTCCCCCCGACCACGATATTTTCTTCATGTGTCGGGTCACACATCGATGCTGCATCCACCACCTCTTCCCTTGCCGAGGCTCCCAACTGTCCCGACTGGCATGTCATCTCAGCCGCGCGTTCAACGCTGCGATTCGCATAGAACAAGCTCCCCGACACGCTCTTTATTGGTCGAACCACCGTGCAAGGCCATACCAACTGCTACGAACTGTGGAGAGGCACTACACAACGGGAGTGGACTACGGAGGAAGGCACGGGGTTGTGCGGGTGATCGTAGCGTTGCACTAGGCGTTCTCACTACTTGTTGTGTTCACAAAGAGATTTGGCAAGAGCTTCACTAAGAAATTGAGAGAACATTAGATTACAATGAGGCATGCAAGTCGATATAGCTAGAATGGCATTGCAACACCTAGCGAGCCCTCTGCAGGGCGAACTATGCCAGCGCAGCAGAAGAGCGGCTTGCCAACGCTGCAGCAGAGTAGTCTGCCAGCGTTGCACCGCAGCGATCTGCCAGAGCCGCAGAGGCAGGTGAACTTCTGCGCAGGTAGACAGACGCGCCGCCAGGCACATTGCGCAAGTGCCAGGTAGAACACGTGTCGACGGTTTTGCCAGCCGTGCACCGCCGAGCACGTGATGCCTTTCCGCAGGTTGACTTCGCGAAAACCTCCTGGGCGACATTCGCCTACGCGTCGGATTTCGCAGTCAAGCGACTTGCGTAGACGAGCACGTCGAGCAGAGCCCGTATACCAGCACCTCTCTACGGGCTCGTCGACCAGCGTCCTCTGCGAGCTCGTCGACCGCGTCCTCTGCGAGCTCGTCGACCGCGTCCTCTGCGAGATCGTCGACCGTGTCCTCTACGGAAACGTCGACCAGCGTCCTCTGCGGACGCGTCGACCAGCGTTCCTGCGGACGCGTCGACCAGCGTCTTCTGCGGACGACTTCTGCAGACTGGTCGAGATCGAACTCTACGGACAGGTCGAGGTCGAACTCTGCGGACAGGTCGACTCCGAACTCTGCGGGCTGTCGACGTCAACTTGTGCGCACCCCCGACTGCGAAGTCTGCTTTGCCCAAGCGAGGGCGGGGCCATTTCCCATCAACGCTCCCCTGCCGCGCTCACGCTTGGGCACCCCACACACTAGGTCTACCGAGAACCCAAGGGATGGAATTCAAGGAGAAATTCCATCTGCGTGCACCCAACACATAGCACGCATGTCACCGCACCAGCCGTGCAGAAGGGCACGGCACCTACTGCTGCACTTCGTCATCACCGTCGCCGACGTCGGCCAGACGCACTTGGCCGATTGCGACGGAGCACCGGTTGAAAGCCGGAGAATGCAGCGCCTTCGTCAGAAAATCGGCCGGCTGCTCGGTGGTCGGGATGTACTGCAGAGCAATCTTCTCGCGCTTTACCATATGCTGCAGCCAGGCGTAGCGTCGCTCCATGTGCTTGAGGTTGCCCTTGAGCCCCAAGCCCCTTGCGACCGTAATGGCCGACTGGTTGTCCACGTACAGCGCGGTCGGCTTCCCAGCGTCGAGCAGCTGGAACTCTGCAAGAAGGAAGCGAAGACGACGAGCCTCCTTGCCGGCTTCCATGGCTGCGACGTACTCCGACTCGGTCGACGAGAGCGTCTCGCATTTGATGCGCTGGCTCGACCAAGAGACTGCGGCCCCTCCGAAGACGAACACGTAGCCGCCCGTGCTCGTCCGATTTTGCTTGTCGCCAGCGTCATCGGCGTCTGCATAGCCGACCAGACACTGCGACTCTGGTCCGTCGCCGAACTCCAGAGCGGTGTCATGGGTGTCGACGAGGTAGTGAAGACAACGATTGACTTCGCGCCAGTGGTTGTCGCTTCGCACTGTCCGGCTGCTCCCCAGCTTGCTGCACGCGAAGGCAATGTCTTGCCTCATCTTCGTCGCCGCAAACAGTAGCGAGCCGACCTTCTACCGATACTCCTCCTCTTAGCGCGACTGCGCGTCCTCGTCGTCGAAACTCAGCTCTGCGTAGGCGTCGACGGAGACCGGCGTCTTCGGCACTCGCCCGGTCTGCTCCTCGTCGATGAAACGCCAACACAGCTTGTCGACGTAGACTTGCTGGTGAAGCCACAGCTTCCTTGCCGGCCTGTCGCGCACGATTTCCAGCCCGAGATACTTCTCGACCGGCTTGATCTCGCGCAGCTCGAAGGCAGCCTCCAGCAGCTCCTTCAGCTCCTTCAGCATTGCGAGGCTGCTGCTGGCGGCGAGTAGGTCGTCGACGTAGACGAGCACCCAGCACGTCAATCCGTCGTCGCCGACCTTGAAGTAGAGGGCCTCGCCGACCTGGCTCTTCTTCCAGTCGGCGCCAGTCAGCACGTCGTCGAGTGCCTTTTACCACAGCAGCGGCGATTGCTTCAGCCCGTAGAGGCTCTTCAGCAGCTTGCACACTCGACTGGTCCCGTCGTTGTAGTAGTCCGGCTGGTACATACGCGGTCGAGCTTGCTTTGCAGGAACGCGTCCTTCATGTCGAGCTGCATCAAGTGCAGGTCGAGGACTGCTACGAGGAAGATCTGCAGAGTCACGTAGCTCCCCACCGGCGCATACGTCTCGTCGTAGTCTGCGCCGTCGACCTGCGTGAAGACTTTCACGACCAGGCGGGCCTTCTCGCGGGCGACCGTGTCGTCGACGTGATACTTCGTCATGAGCACCCAGCGGTTCTTCATGATGTTGACACCGCGCGGACGCTCAACCAGCTCCCACGTCCCGTTGGCGATGAGGCTCCAGATATCCTCGTCCATGACGGCCTTTACCGCCTTGCCCTTCCAGCTCGCCAACGCCTCCTTCACCGTCATCGTCGCGATGTCCCAACGGTGTTCCGGATCGGCGTGCATGTCGGGGTCGAGCTCTGGCAGGTCGACATCGGCATCTACGTCGTCGAGCAGCGTGCTGTAGGAGGTCGATGGGAGACATGCATGGTAGCTCAGCTTTTCTGCGGGCTTGCCGAGGTTGGAGCGGGTAGAACGCCTTGGCTTCACTTCTTCGACCGGGACTTCCACCACGTCACTGTCGTCGGACGGCTCCCCTGCCGACAGCTCCCCTTCCTTGCCGCCAATGACTTCTAGGACGTCGCTCGACGCGTCATCGTCGAGCTGGTCTTCTGCCGTCGGCTCCTCTACTGACTTCGGCTCTTCCGATTCCTCTCCCGACTTCTCCTCTGCCATCGGCTCCTCTGCCATCGGCTCCTCTGCCATCGGCTCCTCTGCCCAGCGCTCCCCTGTCGTCAGCGGCTTCTGCACTTGGCCGCCGAGGTGCATCTCGTCACGTCGGCCGCCGGCGATGCCACTAGCCGGCGCCGAAGGCGACGCAACAATGCTCCCCTCATCGCCGGTGGCCGACGGCGACGCCGTTTTCGGCAGATCAGAGACAAGGGGCAGAGGGGAGGTAGAAGTGGGCGCAGAGGGAGGAGTGACGTCCTCAACGTCGTCGTCCTCGACGGCAAGCAAAGGGGTCGTCGTCGACGAGGGATCCGTCGGCGCAACAGCAGGTTTCCGCGTCGAAACGGGGCCGTGCTCTGCCTTCCACGCCTGCATTGACATTGTCTCGTAGAAGATGGCCTCTACGGTTGTGACCACTTTGTTGTCGGTGAGGTCGAGCATCTCCCAGCCCTTGCTCTCCGACGACACACCGAGATGAAGGCCCCACCGGGTTTAGGGTTTAGAGTTTATCACTGCAGTTCGCTAACCAACTGGAGCATTCCTCTATCCCAGATGTTGCAGATCGTGCTGCTGGAGCTGCTGCCAGCGCCGGAGCCTACTGCTGCCTAGCTAGACCCACGATGGCGGTGCTTCAACCGGACTCGCATCAGGGGTTTACACGGAGTTGAATCAAGAGGACTACTTGCATTACCACATTCCTGGCCCGCAGGACAGGTGGGCTCAGATGCTTCAGAACGTGCTGCTGCTGCTGCTGCCACAGGCCGCGCCTGCTGGTGCATAGATGATGAATGGTGCTGCTTAGATGGTTGGATCGCTCTCCTTGTTGCTGCTCGCCTTGTACTGCTGGGCACCTACTAACTCATGCTCTGTACCATTAATTATGCAGCTTTGGTTTGAGGTCTGATCATAAAGCTCTCCGAGACTGCTTGCGGACTGATGGTTCACTTGTGAGCATGCAAAGGAATGAATTGAATACTAAAGGAGCAGATTATATATTTCCCTTAGAGGCCTTGATCAGCCTAAATGCAATATACAAAATCAAGCGACAAAGGAACGCAATTATATGCCTAGCCTAATGCTAGAGATATATTTGGCCGACTTGCGGACCTTTGGCTAGCAACCACGCTCAATAGCTGGAGGAATTATAGAAGTTATCTTGCAGCTCAGGAAATAGCTCTTCAAGAGAGATTCCTCCGACTGCCCCTGTGGCATGCTCAGGGACCCCGTGAATGAGGTTGTGGTGGATTGTTTGGGGGCTGTAGTGGGAGGGTTGAGGGTCACTTGACTCTAAGTTTGACTAAAAAACTACTTGAAGGCTTAGGCTTTGGTGCTGAGGTGGAAGGTCAGTTACACCTCGGGCCGACCCAAGATTCACTAGACGGCTCGGACTTTGAAGCTGGGGTGGAAGGTCAGTTGACTCTTGGGTTGACTCAAGGGCCACCCTGGTGTTCCAGATAGGGTGGGGAGGTGGAACGGCACTTGACTTTAGGGTTGACTCAAGAGGTTCAGTTATTGCTGGTGTTGCCTCAAGAGAAACCCTTCGGGTTATTATATGGTGCTGGGATGGAGGAGTAGTGGTTGCTGCATAGGAGGCTGGCACCGGGCTGTTAGCCCAGGTGGATTCTTGGTTAACCCAGGTGGATTGTTGATTAGCCCAGGTAGATTCCTGGTTAGCCCAGGTGGAATTTTGGTTAGTCCAGGTAGATTTTTGGTGATGGAAGGGTGGCAGGTGTACCTGGCTGGATGGCTGCTGTTGTTTCTGCCGTTTCACCTGTTTTTGCACCTGCTGTTGCACCTTCTGTTGCTGCTGCTGCTGCTGCTGCTGCTGCCCTTGCCGCTGGTGGGTTGCTACTCCCTGCTGTACCTTCTGCCTTTGCGGCCACACTTGCACCTCTATCTGTTGCTGCTGCTGCTGTTGCTTCTGCGGTTGCTGCTGAAGTTGCTGGTCCTGCTGGTATTGTTGTGGTTTCTGTTGCTGCGGTTGCTGCTGCCACTGCTGTTGATGCTGCTGCCGTTGCTGTTGCTGCTGCTGCTGCTGCTGCTGCTGCTGCTGCTGCTGCTGCTGCTGCTGCTGCGCCTGCTGCTGTTGTTGCTGCTGTTGGTGTGGAAGGTGCTGGTCCTGCTGATACTGTTTCCGTTGCGGTTGCTGCTGCTGCTGCTGCTGTAGTGCCAAGAGGATCAGCTGACACGAAGCCCCGAGGGCCTCATTATTCCCCGAATCAATAATCGCTCGACACGACGCCTCCAGCAGCGCTGACACGTCAGCGTCGCGATCCAATGTTGACAGGTCAGCGTTGCGATCCAATGTTGACAGGTCAGCGTTGCAATTTGACATTGTCAGTTCAGCACTACCACTTGATGTATGAGCCTGTGCTTCTACTATCGGCAGATCGGCCCTGGGCAGAGGCTGTGCCTGCGGTTGGGAAGGCTTGATGGGAGGTAAAATCGACGGGGCAAGTGACTGGATCGTTTGAGGGATTGGATGGATCACAGGAGGGGCTACTGGAGCTGGCTGTGTTGACTGCATTGACTGCATGGACCGTACTGGCTGTGTTGACTGCATTGACTGCGTGGACCGTACTGGCTGTGTTGACTGCATTGACTGCGTGGACCGTACTGGCTGTGTTGACTGCATTGACTGCATGGACCGTACTGACTGTGTTGACTGCGTTGATTGCATTGACTGCGTTGACTGCATTGACTGCGTTGACTGTACTGCCCGTTCCGATGGCAGGCGGTGCACAGGTGGAGAGGGCTGGGAGGGGTGTTGCTGCTGCAAGGGAAGAGCACTTTGTTCCAAAGGCTTGGGTTCTTGCAGGGCTGGGGAGGAATGATGGTGCTGCGAGGGTGCGGAGGAGTGTTGCTGCTGCAGGGAAAGAGCACGAGCTTGCAGGGGTGGCAAAGGCGTGTCTATTTGCTGGGTCTGCTGGGGCTGCTGAGGCTGCTGAGTGTGTTGAGACTGGTGACCCTGTGCAACACCTTCTGGTTGCAAGAAAGGAATCTCTTGATCCGACCCAACGGCCTCCTTCAGCAGCAGCGACACGTGCCCGCTCCTGGCCTCGTTCCCTTCTGAGCCATTTCCATCCAACTCCCTCCTCTCCAACGCATTTCTCTCCAAAGCGTTTCTCCTCAAAGGGTGATTCCTCTCAGAAGCACAGCTAGCAGAGCGCCCCAAGTGGCTGAAAGGAGACTGATCCGTGTGGCTGAATGTCATGTGGTTGGTGTGGCTGGCGCTCTGAGGGGCCTCTAGCTGCTTCGTCTGTGGCGGAGGCTGTTTCCTATGCTGCTTGGGCTGAATGGGAAAATCGACTGGCTGGAGGTTGAAGAGAGGGTAATGGTCGGTGAAGGTGTTGAGGTGGTTGTCTAGTTTGTCCTTTCTGCTGAAGGAGTTCCCGCAGGAGCAGTGCCACCGCTTTACACCGCACCGCTTTTCGTGTGTTCGCAGGTCGGACTGAATGCCAAAGGACTTGACCTGAGGGGAAGGGAGAGGGGGAAAGGGGGGGAAGAGGAGTGTGAGTGAGTGAGCTGCAGCAGGATCAATGCCACCGCTTTACACCGCATTGCTTCTCATGGGCCCGCAGGTTGGACTGAAGGCCAAAGGACTTGATCTGAGGGGAAGGGAGAGGGAGAAAGAGGGGGTAAATCGTGATCACACCACCTCTTGTGGGTCGAAAGGTTAGAGAGATCTGAGATATTTACACACACAAGAGGAGATGAGCGGAGATGGAACGAGATGATGCGAGGGGAGAGGAAGGGAGAGGAGATGAGAGGAGAGGCGAGGAGAGGAGGGGAGATGAGAGGAGGGGAGGGGAGACGAGAGAAGAGGAACGGAAAGGACAGGAGAGAGACGGCAAAGAGGAGGTTCACCTGACAGCGGGAGCACGTGAAGGGCTTGTTGCCATGCACGCGGAGGTGGTGGGTATGCAGCGAAGCAAGGGACTTGAGCGGGCGGAAGCGAAAGTGCTGATTGTTGTGCTGGCAGCCGGGCTCTGGGCAGCTGAAGGCTGTGGGGGAGGAGCTGAGGGGGTGGGGAAGGAGGGAAGAGGAGAAGAAGATGAGAGGGAGAAGAGAGAAAGGGGAGAAGTGGACAAGGGAAGTAGCGCGGGTGTTGCTCGTTGTGCTGGCAGCCGGGCTCTGGGCAGCTGAAGGTCATGGGGGAGGTGCTGAGGGGGTGGGGGTGGTGGAGGGAGGGATACAGGGAGGTAGGGAGGTAGGGAGAAAGAAAGTGACTGAGAGAGGCGGAGTGGGAGAGTTGGTAGGCTGGAGTTTGGTAGAGACGTGTTATGGGTAACTCAGTTACCTCTAAGAAAAGCACATGTAGGATGAGCAGTGCAAATAGAGTTGACACCTTGTAACCCAGAGAGTGTCGGGGCGGGAAGTGAAGCCAGATGAGCGTCCAGACCCATCTGAAGCCTCTTGCCGTGCTCCTGCCCTGTGTGGCCCTCTTGTTGCCTCCTGCATTACTCCCACCCTCACATCCCCTCTTGGAGCCTCCTGCTTTTCTTCTGCCCTGGCTTCCCCCCTTGTATCCTCGTGCTGTCCGTCTGCGTGGTCTACCCCTGCTGGAGCGCATTCAATTGCAGCCAGGCTTGAATCGGAGCAAAACTTTTCCTGCGTTGGCTCTTGTGCTGCTGTTGGTGCTGCGGCTGCTGCTGCTGTTACTGCTGCTGGTGATGGTGGCGGTGGTGGTGCTGCTGCTGCTGCTGATGCTGTTCTGGCTGCTGTTGCTTCCGCAGCTGCTGGTGCAGCTGCTGTTGGTGCATCTGACAGTGCTGCTGCTGCTGTCGGTGCTACTGGTGGTGGTCGTGCTGCTGTTTGTGCTGCTGCTGGTGCTGCTCCTGCTGTTACCGCTGCTAGTGCTACTGCTGCTGCTGCTGCTGCTGCTGCTGCTGCTGCTGCTGCTGCTGCTGCTGCTGCTGCTGCTGCTGCTGCTGCTGCCACTCCTCCCTGTCCCGCTCCCCCTCCCTGTGCCACGCTCTCTTGCAGCGCTGCCTGTAGCTGCAGCAGCAGCTGCTTCAACTTCTTGCGCCTACAAGGAGTAACCTCCCCCTCATGCTGCTTCCCATCGCCCTCCTCCCCGTCCCAATGCCCCCCCTCGTGCTGCTTGCGCTTCTGCCCGGTTTCCCTCGCCAAGAGATCCATTTCAGCGGACTCTTCACCGGGAGGCCTTGTTTGGAGAGCATTGTGTCGCTCCTTGATGATCGAATGACTTGAATCTGTGAACTGTGGCTGCGGTTGCACCTCCTTGCCTCCTCTTGCTCCCACTTGCAGTCGTTCCCTCTCCTGCAACCCATTCTGCTCCTCCCTTGCATCCTCTTCCTCCGCCGCACCTTCTCCCTCTACCTCTTCTTTGTCGTCTGCCCCTCCCTTCTCCTCTTCCTCTTCCTCTTCCTCTTCCTCTTCCTCTTCCTCTTCATCTTCCTCTTCCACTTCCTCTTCCTCTTCCTCTTCCTCTTCCTCTTCCTCTTCCTCTTCCTCTTCCTCTTCCTCTACCTCTTTATCCTCCATATCGTCCTCAACATTGTCGTTGTCACCATCACCAACATTCCCCCCCTCATCCTTTCCGTCCACTTCATCCTCTTTCTCCTCACCTCTGCTGTGTCTACCTCCCTCATTCCCCTCGCCCTTCTCCTCCTCATCCTTACCTCCTGCCTCTCCCCAAGCCATCGGACCCGAACCTTTCTTTATCCCTCGGCTCGGCACAGCCTGGTTTGGCAAAGCTTGGTTCGGCAGAATCTGGCTCGGCAGATCCTGCCTCGGCAAAGTCGAAGCAACCTGCAGGCTTGGCAGCAGATGGAGCAGGGGGCGGAGTGCGCTGAGCTGTTGGTGGGGAGGCAGCAGGCTGGCAGCAGCCACTGCGAGGTTCTTGATCATGCCAACAATCGCCACTGCCACCATGTCCCGCTGTTGCTCCCACTGCTTCTCCTGAGCCTGCTTCTCCTGAGCCTGCTTCTCCTGAGTCTGCTTCTCCTGAGTCTGCTTCTCCTGAGTCTGCTTCTCCTGCTCCTCGTGATCCTGCTTCACGTCGTACTCCTCATTCCGCTCCTTCTCCTTTCCTTCATGTGCCTGCTGCTGATGCTGCTTCCCCGTCTGCTGCTGTGGCTGTTCCTGTTCCTCCTCCTTTTCTGCCTCTTCCTTTTCTTCTTCTTCCTCCTCCTCCTCCTCCTCCTCCTCCTCCTCCTCCTCCTCCTCCTCCTCCTCCTCCTCCTCATCCTCCTCCTCCTCCTCATCCTCTTTCTCCTCTCCCTCCTCCTCCTCCTGCTGCTTCTCTTTCTCGTCGTCCTCCACCTCCTGCTGCTCTTTCTCCTCCTCCTCCTCCTCCTCCTCCTCCTCCTCCTCCTCCTCCTCCTCCTCCTCCTCCTCCTCCTCCTCCTCCTCCACCTGTTCTTGCTGCCCCTTCACCTTCTCCAACCCCTCCTGTTTCTGCTGAGCGAGGGAGGTGAAACAAGGGTGGCAAGAACAGGGAACTTGACTTCAGCGACTGCACTTGAGGCGCCAGAAAACAAAAGTGGAAGGAAGGAACGGGTGCAGGGTGGTGAAAACTGGGCGTTGGGAAGAGGGACTTGGAAAGGCAAAACGGTAGTGAAGCAGGGTGGCTGAAGCAATGGGCTTACAACCCACCGAGTGTGTGGAATTTTCTGGAATTTGCGGGCACCAAGTCAGCAGAGTGTATGCTGGATTTTGCGGGTGCCATGTCAGCAAATATCATCTACAAACTCCGAGCCTCAGCTTGTGGGGCTACAAGCAGGATGAATCATCCGTAGAGCTCTGAGCAAGAGCGAGAGGAGCAGGGGAACGGGGATGTGGGGCAGGCCCGGCATGGGGTTGAGCCTGGGTAACCTAGTACCTGTGAAAGGATACGGACGAGTGCGTGTAACGCGGATACTCTGGCCTGGAGGGCGGAGAGCGAGGACAGCAGGGCTGCATGCTGGGTGGGGAGGGTTTCACGTGTGCACGTGGGGAAGCTGGTGCTTGGGACGTTGCTTGGCGTGCTGCTGTGAGTAGCAGCAGCAGCAGCATTAGCAGCAGCAGTAGGAGTAGCAGCAACAGTAGCAGCAGAAGCAGTAGCAGCAGAAGCAGTAGCAGCAGTACCAGTAGCAGGAGTAGCAGCAGCAGCAGCAGTAGCAGTAGAAGCCATAGCAGCAGCAGTAGCAGTAGCAGCAGCAGTAGCAGTAGCAGTAGCAGTAGAAGCCATAGCAGCAGCAGTACAAGTGGTTTGCTTTCTTATGCCAGCCAGACCCCTTTGAGCGAATGCTGCTGTAGCAGCTGTCGCTTCTGCAGCAACAGCACGGGGCCAGGCGGCTGTAGCAGGGGACACGCGAGATCCTGCTGCTACAACCGCCTGCTTGGCGCCGTCTCCTGCAGCATCTGTAGCACGGACCACAGGACTTGCTGCAGCAGCGTGTGCAGCCTCGGGAGAGGGTGGTTCGGAACCCGAACCAGCCCGGGATCGAAGCAAAGCCTCGATGAGCCCGACGACGTCAATCGATGGGCCCATGGTAGATGGTAGTGCCGCAGTTGTTCTTACCGTAACACCCGGCGGGCAACCGGCAATTACTTGGCGATTTACTCCCGAACAACTGGCATCCTCATGGGCACGTGGATGAGTGTCATCATCATGCAAGTACCAGCAGTTACCCAGCGGCACGGGATAACCCAGGCGACTAGTGGCGGCACGTGGCCGGGGAGGCCGTGCAACTGTTGGCGATGGCTGGAGCTGCGGCGGCTGCGGCATGATCGTCTCACCACCCGGCGCCAGCCTCCCTTCTGCTACTGGCTTCTGAGACGTCTCAAATATCGTCGCACCACCCCGTAGCAGCCTGGCTTCTACCTGTGAGGCCCGGAAGGCCTGCCGTTGAGCTGAACTCCCCGGAGGGTCATTGGGACGCTCCTGGGAACGGGGTGGTGGCTGCATTCTCATCTTTGCACCACCCGGCAGTAGCCTGCCATCTACCCGCGAGGCTTGGGAGGCCTGCTGCTTAGTTGAACTCCCCGGAGGGTCACTGGGACAGGGTCCTTGGGAACCATGATGGGGTGGTGGGTGTACTCTCATCATTGCACCACCCCGCAGCAGCCTGCCTTCTACCTGTGAGGCCAGGGAGGTCTGCTGCTGAGCTGAACGCCCCAGAGGGTCACTGGGACAGGGACCTTGGGAATGAGGTGGTGGCTGCTTTCTCATCGTCGCACCACCCGGCAGCAGCCTGCCTTCTACTACCGGGGCCCGGAAGGCCTGCCGTTGAGCTGAACTCCCCAGAGGGTCACTGGGATAGGGTACTTGGGATTCAAACCCATGATGAAGGGGTGGTGGGTGGTTTGGCAACCCAGGTGCTGAGAGTTCCTGCTGGGGACGTGGCTGGGTGTTATCATATCCTGGGGCAGTGCAGCTTTCCTGTCAGAGTCTGACCGACCGCATCATGGGGAGAGAGGGATTTAGTCCTTTAGGTGAAGCGGCATTGCCGGCGCCGGCGGCCTGCTGTGCGCACCGGCGCCGGTCACGGCGCTGCCACGAGAGAGCACAGTCACTGTGCAGGTAACGGTTAGTACGTGACACATTTGCTGCGCAGGTAAGCGGTAGCACCTACTACTAGTAATAATACTCTGTTATTTTGCTGCATGCTATATCCCCGGCCTGTGGCATGAGGTTACTAATAGTACTGCTAGTAGGCGTGTGCATTTTTCCCCTAGTAAATTCCGCCTATCCTTAAAACGCTAGAACACGCCTTAAACCAGCTCTGATACCAGCTCTTGTACGTGCGCAGCCTTTAGTCTAGACTATGAAGACTATTTAGAGTCTTAGTAACAAGCATATGAAGCTCTGGCCCCAACTGTGTGAAGGAATTTGCTGGAAAACGCCAAGGCAGAAAGTTCAAGTAATTTCATTGAAGAAGGCATGCAAAAACAGAAAACACAAAGCAAGTTATAAGCAAAAGGATTTCTGATTTCGCCCTCGCGCCGCGCCTAATTTCGAGCTGAGTTGTACTCGGCTCAATTTCCAAATCCAACCATGCACCGAACGCGCCTCGAGTTCGAATCAGACTTCCTTGGACGCGCCTTTGACCCGGCGTGACTTCTCTTCACGTCGCTTGGAATCTCGACATTTCAGCTGTTTTCTTCTCCATTTCTGCACACTTCCCCTCCTTCTCTTCGATTCCCACTGCAGGTCGCGCCGCTACCGTGTTTCTCCTTCCACCGTCCCAACATAGGTAGCTCTTCTTCTTAGGTCCTCGCTTTCCCTTAGTCACAGCTCGTCAAACCGAATTTTTCTTAGGTCGATGTAGATCGCGTTAGGTCGTTCTAGGTCATGGTTAGCCAACCACCTTCAACAAATAATACTCTGTTATTTTGCTGCATGCTATATCCCCGGCCTGTGGCATGAGGTTACTAATAGTACTGCTAGTAGGCGTGTGCATTTTTCCCCTAGTACTCTGGCAAATGCAGTTGATCGACCTGTTATGATAAAGTACCTGATCCTGGTATAGGCTATACCCTGTTCCACCTTTCAATTGTGAACGTTGGGCGGCTCATCTCAGCCTCCCTATCGATCTAGCCAGAGCTGCTCTCGGAGACACTGGCCGGAGCTGCTTCGGAAACTGGCTGGGGCGAAACCAGGCCCAATTGGAACCAAGGCAATGGAGGAACCTGTCACAGAACAGAACAGAACATTACGAAACTGAGCGGAACGGAACGGAACGGAACGGAACTGAGCGCCATTCTGAATGCGAGGTGTACTAGTAGTTTCGTTTGGGAAGCCGTGGCTGGGGTTGGGTTGGGTGATTTCCGAAAGTCTGTGGTGCGGAATGGATGGAGCTGTGCTGGTGTTCATCGGGATGGGATGATGGGGATGACAGAATAGCTCTTCCGTAGTGATTAGGGGCGTCTGATCTGAACCCCACGCCTCTGCAATCACTTGAGGGACAAGTGTTACAGTATCTTGTACAGTGCCATCTTTGGCAGGACAGTTGAGGGAAAAAATGTCTTGTTCTGCCACGCTAGGTTTGATCCGACGCACCGTCGTCACCTACACGACACAATTTGAAGGCTCAGCTTTTGTCTGAAATCAAACGTGACCAATCCTAGAGCGCCGACCATCTGGGGACCATCCTCCTGGCTCTTCTGGTCGGCGGGGGAGGCCCACACCAGACGAAGTTGTTGGGAGGTTGTATGTAACTGCAATACACTGTGCTGTACGTGGTGGCCATTTATTGGCCGTGTCCATATTCGCTAAACGTTTGCGACAGTCCTCAAACTTACAACTTCAACAGTTGCATTTTTTTGGCACCGAGCGGAAATGAGTGTCGTAGACTTTGATGCATGCCTCAAATTGCTGAAACTTTTTGTGCTCCCACGGTCGACCTACTTGCTTGCTTGGCTTGCTAGGTCTCAGATGTAGTAACCTTTGCCATTGCCATTGCATCATTGTGTACTCAACTTTTGCTAGCAAAACTCTTGCCAATTTGCCCCATGAATGCGCAAGTGCTAGAGGAGACAAGCAACGCATCAATCACACGCACCACCCGCGACCTCCCCACGTTGTCCAGCTACACTGGTGTAGAGTGACTCTCCACAACATGACGGGACGTGATGTGACATGGGATGACATGATATGCTATGTCCAGCACATGCAGCAGCGCCATACCTGAATGAGTAGCCACAGGAGCACTGCCATGGCCGCGGCCCACAGCGCCTCTCATGCGCCTCCAGGTTGGCCGGCAGGCAGAACAAAACGGTGCCTCACCGCTAGCATAGGCATGCGTCTGTCGGTAAAGGTTCTGCAGCGACACCTTCGACATGAACGCCTGAAACCCCAGGTGCTGCTCGTTGAATGGGCAGCCTGAAGTCGGGCAGCTGAATATCTCTGACACAGCACCATCAATAGGAAGTACCCCTGGCTTGCTCCCCTAAGTCCAATTACCTCCTCTTCTATTTTTTCCTCTTCCATGTCACCATGCAGATCAACCTCTTCTGCAGCAACGGCGACTCCAACCCTAAACCCTAAACCCATGGCAGACTGGTTTTGCAGCAAGTTTCGCTTCGTACACGTCCTTGCGCCCTCTTTTCCTCCCGACCACGATCTGCGCTTCATGTATCGGTTCGTGCATCGATGCTGCATCCACCAAGCTCTCCAACAGGCCCTTGCCGAGGCTCCCCACCATCATAACCGCCATTTCATCCCAGCCGTCCATTCGAAGCTGCGGTCTGTTGCGGAACAAGCTCCCCGACACGCTCTTGATATGTCGAAGCACCGTGCAAGGCCATGCTAACTGCTCCGAGCACGACAAGCCCCACCTGCCGGGTCCTACCGACAACCTGCCATTCTTCTGAGGGAGGAATCACGTGCAGAACGAGCTGGTGCGGGCGGCAGTGGAGGAGGTGGGCGGCGTGCATTTGGATGTAGCGACCATGACGTTGCTTCGACCGGACTCGCATCAGGGGTTTAGACTGTATCACGAGGACTACTTGCATTACTGCATTCCTGGGCTACATGACCCGTGGGCTCTGATGCTGCAGAACGTGCTGCTGCAGCTTCTGCCAGAGCCGGCGCCTGCTGCTGCATAGATGGTGCGCCTTGCATTTGGCGAGGGTCTAAACTCCAAGCCTGGTTGAGGATGGATGGTTCATTTGCCAACGTGAACAGAAACAACTGATTACATAAGATGCCTTGCCTATTTGCAGGAGAAATATTTTAGCATCAAGGGGATGTGTGGCAGTAGAGGTTTTTGCTTGATCGTTAGAGAATTTGTCAATCAATTAAGGAGCTGGTGACGCTAGAGGGCCTAGTCCCTTCATCCTAGTCGAAGTCCCGTGACGTTAAGGCAACCACCCTGCCTAGTCCCTACATCCTATTCAACCCTCAAGCCTTGATGTTTGCTGGTCATTTACCCGTTATTCAGTGGTAAGTACGGCAGCAACGCAAAGCCTGCACGCCTAACGGATGCATGGACTCAGAAGTCGTCTAGAAGCTCGGGAAAGAGCTCCTCCAGAGAGATTCCTCCGACTACCCCTGTGCTATCCTCAGGAACCCCGTGAATGAGGCTGTGATGAGGGGTTGAGAGGCTCTGGAGGGTAGGTGGAGGTTCGGTTGGCTCTAGGTTCGACCCAAGGGCCACTTGATGGCTAAAGCTTTGATGTTGGGTTGCAAGGTCAGTTGACCCCTGGGCCGGCTCAAGGGTTGCCTTGGTGTTCCAAGTGGGGTGGGGAGGTGGAAGGTCAGTAGACTCTATGGTTGACTCAAAAGGTGCTGCAGCTGCTGGCGTTGACTCGAGAGGAGGCCCTTGGGTTAGTCTAAGATGTTGGGTTGGAGGGTCAGTAGTGGTTGCTGCATAGGAGGCTGGCACAGGGTTGTTAGTCCAGGTGGATTGTTGGTTACCCCAGGTCGATTGTTGGTTAGTACTGGTATATTCTTGGCTAGTCCTGGTGGATTGTTGGTTAGCGCAGGTGATGTCTTGGTTAGTCCAGGTGGATTGTTGGTGGTGAAAGGGTGCCAGGTTTACCTGGCTGGATTGCTGCTGTTTCTGCCATTTCACCTGTTGCTGCTGCTGCTGCTGCTGCTGCTGCTGCACCTGCTGTTGCTTTTGGTGCTGGTGTTGCATTTGATGCTGCTGCTGCGTTAAACACTGCTGCTGTTGCTGCTGCCACTGCACCTGATGCTGCTGCTGCATCAATGGCTGCTGCTGCCCTTGCTGTTTATACGCTGCTTGACCCTGCCGTACCTTCTGCCTCTGCGGCCATACGTGCACCTCTAACTGCTGAGACTGCTGCTGCTGGGTTTGTTGCTGCTGCTTCAGATATTGCTGCTGAAGTTGCTGGTCCTGTTGGTACTGTCGTGGTTGTTGCTGCTGCTGCCGCTGCTGTTGATGCTGCTGTAAGTGCTGTTGCGACTGTTGCTGCTGCTGCTGCGGTCGTTGTTCCTGCTGTTGCTGCTGCTGCTGCTGCTGCTGCTGCTGCTGCTGCTGCTGCTGCTGCTGCTGCTGCTGCTGCTGCTGCTGCTGCTGCAGAGCCAAGAGGATCAGCTGGCACGAAGCCCCGAGGTCCTCATTCTTCCCCGAATCAATAATCGCCCACCACGACGCCTCCAGCGCTGACAGGTCAGCGTCGCGATCCGATGTTGACATGTCAGCACCACGATTTGATGCTGACATGTCAGCATCACCACCGCTCCACATATGAGCATGTGCTTCCACTATTGGCAGAAAATCCCTGGGCCGAGGCTGTGCCTCGGGTTGTGAAGGCTCGATGGGAGGGAGAACCGACGGGTCAAGTGACTGGATCGTTTGAGGGATTGGATGAATCAAAGGAGGGGCTACTGGAGCTGACTGTGTTGACTGCGTTGACTGCATTGATTGCACTGCCCCTTCTGATGGCAGGGGCTGCACAGGTGGAGAGGGTTGCATAGGCCACGCTGACTGCCGTGACTGCATTGTGTGCGTTGACTGCATTGACTCCGTTGACTGCATTGGCTGCATTGGCTGCATCGACTGTGCAGGCTGGATTGGGGCTACGGCTTGAGCATCCTGTGTGGGCAACTGGGGTGGCAGAGGCAAAGGCATCTGTGCTGATCGCGGGGGCGGGGAGGGGTGTTGCTGCGGCAAGGGTAGGGTGCCTTGTTCCAACAACAAGGGTGCCTCCAGGGGTGGCACAGGCGTGTTTACTGGCACGGTGGCGAGGGCAGGGGATGCGTGTATCAGTGGGGCCTTTTGAGCCTGCTGATTCTGCTGCTGTCGAGACTGCTGCTGCTGCTGCTGCTGCTGAGACTGCTGCTGTTGATGCTGCTGGGTCTGCAGGGGTGGCATAGGCGTGTTCACTGGCACGGTGGCGAGGGCAGGGGATGCGTGTATCAGTGGGGCCTTTTGAGCCTGCTGCTGCTGCTGCTGCTGCTGCTGATGCTGCTGGGTCTGCTGATACTGCTGATGCTGCTGGGTCTGCAGGGGTGGCATAGGCGTGTTCACTGGCAGGGTGGCGAGGGCAGGGGATGCGTGTATCTCGTGTATCAGTGGGGCCTGTTGAGCCTGCTCATGCTGCTGGGTCTGCTGGGTCTGCTGTGACTGTTGGGGTTGCTGGCTCTGCTGATGCTGCATGTAGTGAGACGATTTTTGAGTCGACTCAAAAATCGACTGTTGGGGTTGCTGGCTCTGCTGATGCTGTATGTGGTGAGACGGCCAACCACACTCCAAGCCCTCGGCTTGCAAGGGGCTCTCTTGGTCTGACCCAACAGCCTCCTGCAGCAGCAGCGACACATACCCACTTCTGGCCTCATTCCCTTGTGAACCATTGCTCTCCAAGGCACTTTGCCCCCCAGGATGGTTCCTCTCTGAAGCACAGCTAGCAGAACGCACCAGGTGACCGGCAGGATACTGTTTTTGAGTCGACTCAGGAATCCCCAGGTGACTCGCAGGAGACTGGTCCTTCACTGCCACGTGGCTGATGTGGCTGGCAGGGGACAGGTCCTTGACTGCCACGTGGCTGATGTGGCTGGCGCTCTGAGGTGCCTCTAGCTGCTTCGTCTGGGCCTCAGGCTGTCTCTTCTTCTGCAGCTTCTGCTTGGGCTGAATGGGGATGTCGACTGGCTGGAGGTTGTAGAGAGGGGAGTGGTCTGTGAAGGTGTTGAGGTGGTTGGCAAGTTTGTCCTTTCTGCTGAAGGAGTTCCCGCAGGAGCAGTGCCACCGCTTTACACCGCACTGCTTCTCGTGCGCTCGCAAGTCGGATTGGAGGGCGAAGGACTTGATCTGGGGGGAAGGGAGAGGGGGGAAAGAGGGGGGAAAGAAAAGGAGGGTGAGTGAGTTGCGGCAGAAACAGTGCCACCGCTTTACACCACACTGATTCTCGTGGGCCCGCAGGTCGGATTGGAGGCTGAAGGTCTGAGAGGAAGGGAGGGGAAGAAACAGGAGTTATTGAGTTGCCACAGGGGTTGTGCCACGTGATGACATCACCTCTGCAGAACGACTAGAGAGGTCTGAGAGATGAGAGGAGAGGAGAGGAGAGGAGAGGAGAGGAGAGGAGAGGAAAGGAGAGAAGGTGGTTCACCTGGCTTCGGGAGAGATTGGACAGAACTGGTGATAAAAGAGGAGAGGAGAGAGTGACGAGTGACGAGTTTCACCTGACAACGGGAGCACGTGAAGGGCTTGGCGCCATGCATGCGGAGGTGGTGGGTGTGCAGCGAAGCAAGGGACTTGAGCAAACCGGTGGGAGGAGAGGAGAAGAGAGACAGTGGAGTAAAGTGAAAGAAGAGGCTCACCTGACAGCAGGAGCAGGTGAAGGGCTTGGTGGCGCCATGCACACGGAGGTGGTGGGTGTGCAGGGAGGCGAGGGACTTGACCGGGCGGGGGAGAGGAGAGGACAGGACAGGAGAGTAAAGTGGAAGGTGGTTCACCTGGCACCGAGAGCACGTGAAGGGCTTGACGCCATGCACACGGAGGTGGTGGGTGTGGAGCGAGGCAAGGGACTTGAGCAAACCGGTGGGAGGAGAGGAGAAGAGAGACAGTGGAGTAAAGTGAAAGAAGAGGCTCACCTGACACCGGGAGCAGGAGAAGGGCTTGGCGCCATGCACACGGAGGTGGTGGGTGTGAAGGGAGGCGAGGGACTTGAGGGGGCGGAAGCGTGGGTGGTGCTCGTTGTGCTGACAGCCTGGCTCGGGGCAGGTGAAGGCTGTGGGGGAGGAGCTGAGGGGGTGGGGACGGAGAGGAAGAGAGGGAGGGAGGGAACAAGGGAGAGTGATCTGGCTGGTATTGGCTGGAGGGGAGGTCATTTTTCCAACTCTGGGAGGAGCAGACACAGGAGGACCAGAGGAGGGAGGAGCAAAGGCAGGAGGGCAGAGCAACGCCAGCAGCGGGATAAGAGTAGACACCTTGAAGCACAGAGAGTGTCAGGACGGGCAGTGAAGCCAGACGAGGGCTCAGACCCGTCTGAAGCTTCCTGCTTTACTCCCGCCCTGGCGGCCCCACTTGCAGCCTCCTGCTTTGGCTCTGCTTTGGCTGCTCCTCTTGGTGCCCAGTCAAATGCAGACGGGCTTGGATCAGATACGAGGCTCTCCTGCTTTGGCCCTTGTGTTGCGTTGAATGATGCTGTTTCTGTTGCTGCTGATGGTGCTGGTGCTGCTGCTGCTGCTGTTCCTGCTGCTGCTGGTTGAGCTGCTGCTAGTGCTGCTGCTGCTGCTGCTGGTAGTGCTGGTGGTGGTGGTGTTGCTGTTGCTGCTGTTGGTGCTGTTCCTGCTGTTACCGCTGTTGGTGCTGTTCCTGCTTTTACCGCTGTTGGTGCTGCTGCTTCTGCTGCTGCTTCTGCTGTTGCTATTGTTGATGGTACCTCTGCTGCTGCTGGTGGTGCTGCTGCTGCTCGCGTCCCCAGTCCTCGCCCTTGCACCACCCTCCTTTGCAGCACTGCCTGCATCTGCAGCAGCAGCTGCTTCAGCTTCTTGTGCCTGCGGGGGCTTATCTCCCCCTCGCGCTGCCTGCGCTTCTGCCGGGAACCCCCCGCCACGCTACGCATCTCAGCAGACTCCCCATCGTGCGGCCTTGTGTGGGAAGCCTTGAGTTGTTCCTTGGCCCTTCTATGGTCCGTCACTGGGACCTGCAGCGGTTGCACCTCCTTGCCTCCTCCCGCACCCACTTCCAGTTGTTCCCTCGCCTGCAGCCTCTCCTGCTCCTCCTCTCCATCCTCTTCCTCTTCCTCGTCTTCTTCCTCGTCCTCTTCCTCTTCCTCTTCCGCTTCCCCTTGATCCTCCATATCCTCATCATCATCAACTTCATCATTCCCCCCATCATCCCCTCCCTCGCCTTCCTTTTCTTCCTCTTCCTCCTCTTCCACTGCATCCCTACTGCGTCTATCTCTCCCATTTTCCTCGCCCCTCTCACTCTCATCCTTAACTTCTTCCTGTCCCCAAGCCAACGGACCCGAACCTTCCTTACCCCCTTGGTTCGTCACAGCCTGGTTTGGGAAAGCTTGGCTCGGCAGAGTTGACGCAACTTGACGGTTGGGCAGCAGGGGGAGCAGGGGAAGGAGTGCTGTGTGCTGCTGGTGGGCAGGCAGCAGACTGGCAGCGGCCACTGCGAGGTTCTTGATCATGCCAACAATGCCCACTGCTACAGCGTCCCGCTGCTGCTTCCGCTGCTTCTCCTGATCCTGCTTCTCCTGATTCTGCTCCTGTTCCTGCTCCTGGCCTTGTTGATCCTTCTGCTTCTGCAGCTCCTCCTTCTCCTCCTCACGTTCCTGTTGCTGCTGTTGGGAGTGTTTCATGCCTTCTAACACTTTTACGTGCTGCAGCTCCTGCTCCTGCTGCTGCTGCTGCTGCTTCACCTGGTGCTGCTGTGACCGTTCCTCTTTCTCATCCTCCTCCTCCCCCTCCTCCCCCTCCTCCTCGTGTTCTTGCTGCCCCTTCTTATTCCCCAACCCCTCCTGTTGCTGCCGAACGAGGGAGGTGAAACCAGGGTGGCAAAAACAGGGTACTGACTTCAGCAAATGCACTTGGGGCGCCAGGAAACAAGGGTAGCAGGCAGGATCAGGTGATAAAAAGAGGTGGACGAAAACTGGGTATGGTAAAGAGGGGCTCGGAAAGGCAAATTAAACGTGAAGCAGAGTGACTGAAGCGATGTGCTTACCACCACCTGTCGAATTCCAGAGCCATAGCTATAGTGGTCAGCAACAGTTTGCTGGATCATGTGGGTGCCATGTCAGCAAAGTGCTTTCTGAAAAGATAGAGAGCAGGGGCACAGGAATCTGGGGCATGGCCCGACAATGGAATATCCAAGTAGTCTACCTGTGACAGGATCCGAACGAGAGCTTGTAACGCGGATACGTTGGCCTGGAGGGTGGTAAGCGAGGAGAGAAGAGTCGCATGCTGGGTGGGGAGGGCTCCACTGATGCACGTAGGGGAGCTGGTGCTTGGTACATTGCTTGGCGTGCTGCTTTGAGTAGCAGTACTACCACAAGCAGCAGCTGTAGAAGCAGTAGCAGCAGTAGCAATAGCAACAGTAGCAACAGCAGCAGTAGCAGTAGACGTAGCAGCTGTAGCAGTGGCAGCCATGGCAGGAGCAGCACCAGTGTCGCCCTTTCTGCCTATGTACGCTCTCCTCATGCCAGCCTGGGCCCTTGGAAGGGAATGCAGCCAATCCCCTTGCCCTTGCTTCTCTCCTATCGCCACTCTTGCATGGAACGCTGCTGTAGCAGCTGTTTTTTCTGTAGCAACTGCCTCTTCTGTAGGAACAGCGCAGGACAAGCTGGCTGTAGCGGGAGACACAAGGGATCCTGCTGCTACAACCGCCTGCTTGGCGCCGTCTCCTGCCGCTTCTGTAGCACGAACTGAAGGCCTTGCTGCTGCAGCTCGTGCAGGCCCGGGAGCAGGCGGTTCCGAACCCGAACCAGCCCGGGCGGTTCGGAGCAAAACTTCGATGAGCCTGACGATGTCAGAAGGCGTGCCCCTGCCAGATGTTAGCGACGTCTGAGTCGACTCAAAAGTGCCAGATGGTAGTAGCGACGTCTGAGGCGCCGCAAATGCCGTGACAGATGGCAGTAGTGCTGTTCTTCCAGCAGTAGTAGTAACACCCAGGCGACAGGCACTCACTTGGCCCCGATTGGCACTTGGTCTAGCGGCACCATCATCATTATCATCACCATTACCATCACCATTATCATCACCATTATCATCACCATTATCATCACCATTATCACGCTGATCTCCTCGTGGCATTTCATGATGATTCCGTAGACCTTCAAGGCCTGCACCTGGCTGCCGGGGTCGGGTAACTGATGATGGCGACGGTTGTAGCTGCGGCAGCTGCGGCGGCATCATGATGGCACCACCCGGCGGCAGCCTGCCGTCTACCAATGAGACCCGGACGGCACGGAAGGCCTGATGTTGACCTGAACGCCCTGGAAGGTCACTGGGAGAAGGCCCCAGGGAATCATGATGGGGTGGTGGCTGATTTGGCGGCACGATAGCACCACAGGGCGGCAGCCTGCCGTCTACCAGTGAGGTCTGGAAGGCCTGCTGTTGACCTGAACTCCCCGGAGGGAAGGCCTGCTGTTGAAGCGAACTCCCCGGAGGGCCACTGGGACAGGGCCTTTGAAAATCATGATGGGTTGGTGGTGGCTGCGTTTGCGGCATGATGCCACCACCGTGGCATCGTGCCGTCAACACAGCCACCAATGAGGGCTGGAAGGCCTGCTGTTGACCTGAACTCCCCGGCTGCTGCCCTGGCTCCTGTTCATTCTCCGAGAACCGCGCATCGGCGTTTCTTTCGCCAGAAGCTACGCCGGTCCTTGGAAAGGGAGGGCTGCAGTCCTTCCGGTGAAGCGGCATTGCCGCGGGAGGCCTGCTGCTGCTGCGAGCACCCAGCGCTGGGCCAGTGCTGTCACAAGAGAGGACAGTCACGTTACACATCTGCTCCGTTGCGAGCTGTAGTACGTACTATTTCTCTGTTAATCTTGGTAGTTATACTATGGGAGTCTCATACTGTGGCAATGGTAGTTTACGTCCCTCACGCAAGCACTAGCCACTTACACACTGGACTAGTACATTTTTCCCGTGCTACTAAGTCTGGCAAGCTTTGCCAACCTGTTTGGGCAAATTATGCATCGCCGGATATGATAAAATTCCTGCACTGCAGTGTGGATCGGATCCACCGCCGGTAACGCTCTGGGCGTCCCAGCTCAGCCTCTCCAGCTTGAAGGTTTTTTACTAGAGAAGCTGGGCGATTATTGAGACATGATGAGATGGCCCGGAAACACTGGCTGAGGGCGTACTCTGGTGCTTTGGAACACTGGCAGGGTGGACCCAGGCCTGCTTGGAACCAGGAAACGGAAGAACGGAACAGGACAGAACCGAGCGGGACGGAACGGAACGGAACGCCATTTCAAATGCGAGGTGTAGGTCACCAAGGCCCTGGTGATGGTGGGGAATGGATGCAGCTGTGCTGCTGTTGAAGGTGATCAGGGAAAAGAGCTGTTCTCTACTGTGCAGTGATTGAAAGGCGTCTGGGTCGCACCTCTGCATGGACAAGTTGAGAGGGGAATACAGACGATGCTCAACCCCTGCGCGCAAATTTGCCCTGGACGCGACGGAAAGTCTGCACCCGTGTATTTTGCGCCGGACAGTTGCACCTAAGTTACAAGCACCCTGAGCAAGTTGCAGTGACTATGAACCAATAGTAACCACAGAAGCCAAAGTCAAACTGAAGAGACTGAAGTAAAAAAGTCAACGAGAAGTTACAATGTTTTTATAAGCCCTTTTTTGCTAGGTGCGAATTGACGAAAACTTTGCGAAATGCAAGAATCGCTTAAACGCCCAATGAGTAAGGCTACAGTTGTCTACTCAAACGAGCATCATTTGTACAGTAGTGTCTTGTTCTGCCATGCTAAACCTTGATCCGCGCTAAGTGCCAAAATATGGATTAAGATCCGACGATACCGCCATATGCGACACTATTTGAAGGCCATTGTTTTGTCTGGCAAGGGACGTGACCAATCACAAAGCGCCGACCATTTGAGAGCCAGCCTGGCTATTCTGGTCGGCGGGGGAGGGTCACACGGGAAGAGTTGTTGAGAGGTTGGGTACAGTATGACGGTATGGGTGGCTGGGACCTCGTTACGGGACGTGGTTGCCTTAGGCCCGCCAGTCGCCACCTAAGTGTTCATAAAATGGACGCGACACTCGCAATCTGGTTGTGAATTCAACGGTTGAACTGAGCGATAAGCGAGTGTCCTCCCTCAAAATCGCTGAACCTGGGTTGCAAAAACTTTGTGCTTTCACTAGATGTTTCGGTTGTTTAGGGAATGGTGTTACAACAGGATGACGCATTTTGGAAACCTCAAGGAACCAGTGGGAAGTGGGATATTCAAATTATACACCTCACAATTTCTGGTCGTGAAAGTGACCCCACAAATTCTTTCAGAAATCTCAAAGGCTGCATTTCACACCTCACAATTGCTGGTCGTGAAAGTGTCGGCGGCGAAGAGGGGGGATGACAGAAGCAGAGGAGCTTTCGTCTGCATTAGACGAAGGTTCCTTCACGAAGGATGTCCGCGCGTTGCTCGTGGTTTGACCGGTATTGAACGGGGTATATATGATATGGGTATGAAGAGGTGTACATGGAGGAAGTGTGTTACCAGCAATACATAAAATTCGTATGCTATAAACTTCAACTTCATTAGCCAAAAGTTATCAGCATGACAACTCAGGGAAGAGCTCGGTGACTGAGAACGTACTCTCTACAGCCTGAGATAGTTCATTACCAACTAATAAATGCATCATACTATTGTCTCCTCGGGTCTCGTGTATCACATGTTCCTTGCTCTTCTGCACGAAAGACTCCGCCAGTGCCTCAACAGCACTCACAGCATCCCTGTAGAGCAGTCCAGTGCAAGGTTCATGCATGGAACTCCCGATTGCGGAAGTTTGATGCGCAGCCGTTGTGGCATCGTAACGAGCTTGTGTGTTCACGTCGACACTGCTACGGGGATCAGCATAGGGTAACTGATCACTTGGACATGGGACAATCACAGGTGTATCCCCTGGGATGGGGGTTTCATTGAACGAACCACATTCTTCAACTGGGCCTGTGCTGGTATGCTGCACATTAGATGGATCTGGGAGCAGCATGCTCTGGGTGGCGAGCTCGTGGTGACTTGGAAAGACCTTCAAGTGGTTGGCTAGCTTGTCCTTTCGGCTGACACGGCAGAACAGCGGGGACGAAATGTGCGGGTCACGGGGTTCAGCGAGAAAAACACTGGCACGGAAAACATGAGGAACATGAGAACCAGAGATCCTGAAAATGGCTGGAAATGATATGATACGATATGATATGTGGTGCAGCCGAAACAGAACAATACCTGAACGAGTTACCGCAGGAGCACTGCCATCGTCGTGGCCCACATCGCCTCTCATGGGCCTCCAGGTCGGCCGGCAGGCAGAACGACTTGCTGCCGCACCGCGAGCACAGCAGCGCCTCACCCGGATGCGTCCGCCGGTAGTGGTTCCGTAGCGACGCCTTCGACTTGAACGCGCGAAACCCCGGGTGCTGCTCGTTGAACGGGCAGCCTGAAGCCGGGCAGCTGAAAATCTCCGACAC